GGTAATGATAAATATGGTGACAAAGATGTATTAATAATGTTTATAGAAATGTATTAAATGTTTTGGAAAAATTGCAGCTTAAAATAGTGTTGAGTGCTGAACTCACATTAAAAGGTAAAAAAAATAAATGATATTTATGTGGGTTTTCTCTCCAACCTGAAAAATACAGTGGATGAAACTTTAGTAGAGTAAGTGAATATTGTTTTTTTTTAACCTTTTAACACATTCTTTTATAAGACACTCAAATATGTGAATGTTTATATAATCTGATACACAATAAGCCACTGAACTTGTAAAAGCTTTGGGTTCAATTTCCATGTTCAGTTTTTATATTTAATGTTTGTGTAAGACAACTGTCAAAAGATTTAAATACCAATTACTTTACACAAGGAAGATAACTTTAATTTCAATTTTCTAAGGATATGGCAATGTACTAATATCTAAGTTTGTTTTTATATATATATATATATATATATATATATAAAACCACACCCGCCACAAAATTCTAGGTAATAAAATTATTTATATAAAGGTTTTAAAACTAAGCAATCAAAGTAAATTTAGAGTATTTAGAAAAAAAAGAAACTAGAAATTAGCAGAAACACCATAAAGCATAAAATCCACTTTTTAATTATAATGTTCAAATATTGGAAGAATTTTCCTAAATTTAATCCATAAGCAGTTTAACCATGCATTAACACTAAAAAAAATGAAAAAAAAAAATAATGTCAAAGTCCAGCTATAGGTGTGTAAATAAGAGAAAAATCCATATCTCAGCATAACATTGTTGGAAATATATATATTTAATATAAAGACAATGTACATGTCACTAAAAACTAATATAACTGCTGAAAAATATGATCTTTATCTTAAATGATCAATGTATGACTGATAATATTGATACTGAGTGAGTATACATTCCAGAAATTATGTTAAATTTTATTTTGGTTCCACTGAAAAATTTTTTTTTTTTTACTATCATCAAATGAGCTTAGGTAATATAAAATACAAAAACAGTACTGCTCTCTCCAAATATTTCTGACGATTAAAGAATGATGGCATCTCACCATCAATCAACTGGGATATTATAACAAGAACTAAATCTTATAACAGGAAATAAATGTAACTTAACCAATTTTTCAACAAGGCATATCTTAGAACACTATCTTATTAAACAAGAGAAATGAATTCATGGTTACATGTAGGCATAAAAATAAATATCTGCTTAAATACTTTGATCCAGATTAATTTTTAATATAAATTACAGTTAATTTTTATGTATATTACAGTTTGTTTTACACACACACACACACACACATTATATATATATATATATATATAATAATGAATACAGAATCCTTAAAAATCCATTCAGTCAGGTAATAATTTATTTTGTGGACTCAGATGTGCATCACTTTAGACCAAATTTTATAAAAATAAAAATTTTGTAAAATTTGGTCTTAAGTGATGGACATTTAAGGATCCTGTATTCATTATTATATTGTTCTGTTCTAACATTTAGCACTCATTGGATTTTTTATATCCTCCTTGGAATTATCCCTACAAATCAGATGTTGATAGGTTGTATGTAACAAGAGCTTTAGGAGGTCAAAGTCTAATCCAACTTGAACTAACTCTAAAAACTGTAGCAATGGATTGGAAGCATACCTCATAAAAACCAATGACCCTCTTCTACAAATAGTAAAATACCAAATCTACTTCATCAACAAAGAAGCTGCACTCTTCAAGAAAAAACTTAATTTACCTGAAACCCTGCCAACAAAAAAATGAAGTGAATACCATCTATGCCAAACAAGTTAAATAGAAAGCAAAACAACTTGGGCAAATGAAATTACAAAAAACTGCAAGAACAAGGTGCTGCATGGCAAATGCCTAAAAAGAATGAAAGGAGATGTGGACGAACAGAAAACACATCAGTGGCTGAGTAGCACCGGGTTGAAAGCCGAGACAGAAGGCCTAATTATTGCAGCTCAGAATCAAAGCCTTGCACAGATACTCTCACTGTCACATAATCAAGGATGGAACTAACCCAAAATGCAGGATCTGCGGAAAAATATGATGAAACTGTTGAACATGTTATCTCAGGATGTCCAGAACAAGCAAAAAAAAAAAATGAACATACCCACAGACATAATAACATAGCAGCATATGTGCACTGGAAGATATGCAAGAAGCACATAATCAAAACCACTGAGAGATGGTATGAGCACCAACCAGACACAGTTACCCTAAAAAATGATGTAACTATCCTCTGGGACATGCCAATTCAAATCAAAGCCAAAAGACTTGATATCATAAAAGACAAGAAATTCAGGAAGTGTCTGTTTATTAACATAGCAGTACCATCTGAGAGAAACACCTTCATGAAAATTGAGAAATTGTCCAAATACAAGGAACTGGAGATCGAGATTAACAGGATGTGGAGAATGAAGACTGAGCCAATAGTAATCGGAGCTCTGGGCCTCATGAGAAAAAGGAATGGACAAATTTACTAACAGTGTCTTGGGTAACATCGACATACAAACTAGGAACATCCCATATACTAAGGCCGTATAGAATACTTCTCTAAGGACCATACTTTGGGCTGGGCTCTACATCATCATCATCATGCTTCTTTTTCATCTTCTGAAGACTCGGTATACAAATGTCAGCTTGTGAGTAGAGTGATGTTATGACTCTTTCACATATCCAATCCTTAAGTTTGCCCATAGGATTTGGGGTCTTTTTTGCTCTAGTGTATGCTTTTGAATTAGTTATTGGAAATTCTCTTGAAAGTCTTTGTTTGACCACTCCAAAATGAGGTTTTCAGTTTTGTCTTCAAAATAATAGATTTGTTCCCTTGCCCAAAAACTCAAGTTTTCTCAAATGTCAACATGTACAATAGCTACAACAAAATCCTTACGACTTACTTGAAAATGGTTCACTTCTGAAAGGCATGCCAAAAGTCATGATTTATTTTTTTTTTGACAAATTCTGACACAAAACAATTTCCATGTTCTCTGTGACGAATACAAAAGGAAAACCTCAACACATAAAACTTAAAAGAAAACAAATGCAATTCCACTATCAATACTTCCCCCTAAAATTGCAAACACACTGGAAAATAAAGCTGTGATAATATTAAATATAGTCCACGTGCTTGTGAAATCCCCGATAACAAAATTATACAGGCTATGTGGTTCCATAACTGAGAATGTTGGCTTGTTGATAAATGTTTTAGTTTAATCTAAAATTGATATTTGCGTTGTCTGTTCTATAAAACAATCCCTTTTCTATATTTATTGGTTACAACTTGATTTGCAACAGGTAATTATGGTGTTATGGCAAAAAGAAGGCATTGTTCAATACCAATAAACAAATGTATCTTGTTACCTTAATAGTGAAATATCTCATTAGAAAATAATGAGCAATTCAACTTCCTTTAGATCTTTTTACTTTCAATAAGTCAGAATTCTTTCTTATATGCAACAATTGCCAAATTACTTAAACATTGGCCTTTTTTTAACTGCTCCTTTTAAAATGGTTTGTGTAAACTCATAAGTGTATAATGGATTACCATTTGCTCGAAATGTTCTTATTTCTTCAGATTCTTTGAATTGGAAGAATATAATTTTCAAATATTGTGAAAGTTTGAAAATGTTTTCCTTATTGTAAATCTTTTTAGAAGTTGTTCCTTTATTGAAAGTATTTATGAAATGTAGTCTCAATTGGAGCCATGGTGGGTTGTCAGTTCAACACTGACTTACATTGTTTTTTTTTAAATAGTCTCTAATAATGAAAACTGCTCAGTTTTTACTTGTGAATGTTATGGTTGACAAGCATCAAATACAGAGTTTAAATACCTCAAAGATTCTAATCTTTGAACCCGATTTATATTTTGTAATCATTTCCAGGTTTGTTAATTCCATGAATTTATTGTATAATTGTCAACTTTGTCTCAAACTTTTTTTTTTTCATAAAATTCAATGTGGAGTGGGGGAATTTAGTGAACTTTTTGTTCATTATTTGTAATGAAATTTAATTTTAAAAAAATTTTTGATTTCTAATTGTTTTTTTTTTTATTCTTTAATTTTCTGGTGAAACTAATGCAATTACATTTATTTAAAAAGGCCATCTAAATCTAAAGATAAATTTTCTGGACAAATTGTAGCAGTAAAAAAAAAAAAAAACACACACAAACAATTTTAACATCTTCCGTAAGTAGAATGTGTCATCGTTTCAGATGTTGCCATCTCACTTTTTCTTTTTCTTTTTGAAAAAGAATTCAAAGTTTAAAATCATTGCAATTTTAAAGATTTGTTCTGGAATTAGCACATTAAACTAAAAATATCTTGAAAGTTTTTAACTGTAAATGTAAGGGAAATAAACTCCTTTGGTTTAATATTTTATGTTTTGTCCTGTTGAGTCCAAAATGTATCACAGTCAAACTAGAATCATTTATTAGTGGATTGATTTTGAGTTTTCATTTAATCAGGTCAGACACAAAAATCCAACTATTGTGATTTTTTTTTTTTTTTTAAAGAAACTTGGGGGGGGGGGGGATTTCAATTAACAGTACTTGTAATTTTCTTCATCTTTTTTATGAACCAGTCAAATAAAAGAATGTGAATTGTGTTCATTAATGTTGCTGTTTTATTATTGTCACCTGTGAAGAGAACAATTGGTATTCCTCATAAACTGCAGGAAAGAAACAAAATTGAAATTAAATTACTAAAATGAAAAAGTTTCCTGTAACTTTCAAAGCAGTTTTTGAAAAATAAAAAAAATTTTTTTTTTCTAACATTTGTATATTTGTTTAAATTTTTTTTATGTTCTGTTTAGAAAATATATTTTCTTTCAGGATCATCACAAAAGCAAATGTTATTCCACAAATTTTAAGGACTTATCAATATGTAGTTGCTTTTAACATATTTCTCATCCAACCTCAATTTTTTAAAAAAATAGGTTGGCATTCACTGTTATCCATTTCTGTTTAAGCTCTAAATATTTGTATTCCAACAGCTGAAAGAAATGTCTTCAAAGAATTGGCTAAGTTTGAGTGTTTCTTTGTTGTCTTAATTGATTACATTGACCTTGTCAGGGATTTTCAAGTTGTGCTCGGAAAGATTTGAAATATTAAAAACACAATTTTCTGTAAGTTGAACATTCGATAATATTTTTTTTTCACCTACTATCCAATCAAATGTTCTGTCTTTTCATAAAGAAAATCAATTCTTAGCCATTATTCCACAATAGGATAAATTTTGTAATCTCATTGAATATTTTTTTTTTTTTTTTAAAAACAATGATTCATTTTGTTTAAAGAATCCATGTACATCTTGTCATTGTGTGTGCATTGCTAAGAAATGTTCCATGTGAAGTTCAACATCTAAAATTTTTGCTAAATTCATGTTTTATGCACACAAATTATCTTTTGAATTGATTTACAAATAAAAGGGCCATAGCAACAGTAGAGTATGCCTTCAGTTACATAGGATAGTGTTTAAAATATTTTCTGTCTGCTAATGTTTTTCTACTATAAAAGTGATATTAACTTCCACCCATATGTCACACTCTCTAAACTAGCTATACATTGACAAATCAAAACAAAATTTTGGGGAGAAGTGCAAACAGGTAAGAGGGTTCACAAAGTACAGTTGGTTTTACAAGGGTGCGTGGCTTGGCAAAATAAATTTTCATTATTTTTTCACAAAAACAAAATATTTAACATACAAAATACTCCCAACTATTTTAAAAACAATTTAATGATTAAAAGAATACCCATTTAATAAAATAAAGCAATTTTTTTTTTTTTGCATATCTTAAGTTTTTATATATACAAGAATCACGTTTGTCCTGTGTTTGCAAGAAATATCAACAAGGCTAAATGCTTCAAAAAGTTGGAATTTGTTTCCAGAAAGATGTTGCATGCTCAAGGGTAAGAAATCCTAAGAACTTTTTTGCTCTTAAAAAAGAAATTTTCTTAAAAAATGTTGTTTACCATGAAGTCCTATAAAATTAAAAATAAGAAAAAATTATTAAACTGTATTTTTCAAACAAACAAATCAGCTTCAAATTTCATCGATTGATTTAAAAAAGAAAGAATGAAAAGTTTGTAAATCTCAAAAAAATGTTAGCAATAACTTCAGCAATACTAAATACTGCAAGGATTTCAAGTTGCATCAGCATGTTGCAAGAAAAATGTTGTGATCTAAATGTGTGTACACAGTGATGTATAGAGAATAACTTTTTCATGCATATAGCTGTTTTTCCTTAAAAAAAAGAAAAAAAAGTTTTTGTTCAACTGAATGAAGCAGCAAAACAAAAGATAAAGAACAATTAGCAAAATAGCTGAAAATTTTTAATGAACAAAAAAAATTGATTACATTGATTACCACAGTTTATCATTCTGCTTACCTTCTTGCATTAGGAGAGAGAGAGAGAGTTGCCATTGGTATAACAATTGGTTTAGTGGATTCATTGCAAATAAAAAGGGGAGGAGGGACAGGAGGAAAGAATGTCCTCATTTCATTCATGAGTAGAGAAAGAAAACAGACAAGGCAACTTTTAACAGAAAACCTTGTTTACAAATATAACATTGAAAGAAAAATATTTCTCAGATCATAAAACGCCAAACTTGGCTTAAAATCTTTACAATCCTAAAAAGATTTTGTTTAGAAATTTACTGCCTCTTCTGGATATTCATATTACAAAAAGCCGCTTTACAAAACCTCATAACATTCCGACTTTTCGATATCCTCCTCTTGGATGGGGTGGGGACTTGATGTGATTGAACCAAATCATTTTTGTTGCACTGGTTTAATGGGGCAGGGGAGGGTGGGGTCAGATTAAACAATGGCAAGACCACACTTGCCAAAACCAGGAACCTTACAGCTTTGGGGCCCCCTCAGTGTTCTGCTATATCATTGAATAATAGCAGTAATCAATTCATCAATTATCCATTCACTTTTATCAAAACAGACAGAAACAATGTTGGATGCTAAAGTAAATTTTAATCAGTAATTTCCTCATACTAACTGGGTGTCACAGATTTTACAAGCACAATACTGATCACTAAACCTAGCATTAATTTTCTGGTGCCTGATTGGGACAACCATAGGTCCCTGGGCCCTCAGGTCTCTGCTGTAGATGTCAGTTATTCAGTGAATTTCATAAACTCTTTCTTTGATGTTGAATAAGTCTAAAAATGTTACTGGGGAGAGAGAGAGAGAAAAAAAAAAAAAAGTAACATGAAAAGGGTTTTGTTTCTTTTTTTTTTTTGCATAATATAAAAAGAAAGAAAAAAAAAAAAAGTTACGTTGTAGTGATCCAATCCTACATATGTTGAAGTTGAGATTAAATTTTTTTTTTTTTTTTTCCCAAAGTAAACAAAAAAAAACTGTCTATTAAGAGACAAGATGATTAAGATTTTTTTAATTTTTTTAATGGAACAAATATTTTTGCCATTATGAAGAGGGTTTTAGGACTTTCTTTGCAGATGCTTTAGCCACATTTTTTTTTTAGTTTTAAATTTTATTTAAACTCTAATGAAAACTAATTGTATTGAAGTGAATAATATCAAAAGTTAGTCATTTTAAGTGGTTAAGTAATTTGTGCCAAAATCTAGAAATTTGAAAAGAGAATGAGAGAAAAAAAAAATACAACCATGTGTGCATACACACAGCTACTATTTGCCGAGATATAGAAGGTTTTATTTTGATTTTTTTTTTTTTTTTTTTTGCCAAAAAGATACAGAAAACGTCTGAAATATTGATAGTAGCTTCCAAAAAATTAAAAGGAGAAAAATATTTCCAGAACATTTAAAGCCAGAGTGTCTATTTATTTGGGGGGGGGGGGTGTCAGCTGCCAAACAACTTTGGAAGTTGAACATTTCCCACCCCCAACACACCTCCTTTTTGTTTTGTCAAACCGCAAACCTTGTTTTTATTTCAAGGTCCCCAAAATACCAAATGAAAATAAATTAACAAATAAAAGACCTTATTGTCATAATACCAACCACCCCAAGCAGTCATCTTTTATATAAAAGTAATGACCCAATGTTAAAATATGTTTTGCATTGGACCTTCAAATAAACAAGTGGTCTCAAAATGTTTATATACTTTATAGTTTAAAAAAAAAAAAAAAAAAAAAAAAACACACAACTCAACATTACATCTGTTTAGGTGTTCTGGATTTAAAACTTTCTATTTTATTGTATCTTACTCTTTCCTGCACGTAGTATTTCAATTACGCTATTATGATGGATGGGTCAGTTACATGATCAGAAATAAATGAAGGAAATTTTAAAAGTTTCACAAAAAAAAAACCCCAAAAAAAACACCTGCCCCCACTTCACTAAGAGTGCTTGATCAAATGCTCACTGTTTTCTCTTAAGCATCATGGCATGCCAGTAAAGAGACATCTGGCAATAGGACAATACAGGGAGAAATAGATTCATGCCTTTAGTGCAACAAAAGTCTCAGATTGAATTGGAGTGGCAAGATTTCAAATTCATTCAGGTGATGACATCTACAGCTCAACCACCAACCTCCATTTTGTGTTGATGTCTAAATCAAGAATGTTAGCGCTTTGGTAAATCTCCCAACTCAGGGAAAAAAAAAAATTTAATCAAATACCCTCTAGTAGCACCTGATGGCTTTGTGCCAAAATTGGGTAGAGACAACTCTACCTGGAAATAAAAATTTTTTAAAATAAAATAGTAACTGCATAAAGATTTAGAATTAAATTTACTATTTTGGGGTTATGGAACCCTACTTTGCACAAACCTCATGTAACTAAAAGCCTACAAAATAATGTCAAGTGAAATTACTCTCAAAAAACAGAAGAGAGGACCTCACTTCTGTCTAAAATGTCCAGTTTCAATTCCTATCAATAACTTGAAGATAAATTGGTCATTCTAATTTCTTTTTATAATTTAAATCTCTTCAACACAAAATTCAAATTAATTGGGAAAGTGTTCTTTCTCAATTTTTTTTTTTTTTAGTAAACTTATGCAGATTTTTAGGAGGGGTGGTAAGTAAAAATCAGTATGTTTATTGCAAGAGTAAACAATAATACTTTCAGGGGTAGAAAAAAGTCTATTTTTCCTTTAGTTCAATTTTTGAGGATTTTTTTAGAACAAATGTAAGTTTGTTTTCTATGTGCTGCAGAAATGAAGGCAAAAGATAATCCAAATAGAATCGATGGATATAAAAAGGAAATTAAACAGAAATTCAAAGAATTAAAAAGAAAAAAAAAATGTTTGTAAATTGATTAAAATAAAACCTATTTATACAAATGTGTTCAAAAGCAAAAGAAGTTGTCCCCCTCTGTCATTTTGCATCTAAGAAAACTTTTCACTAATTCATAAAAACTTGCCATTTATATTTAAAAATGAAAATGATCAGAAGATAACTTTTTGGCCGTGTGATCCGACCAAATGAGGACATCACAAAATTGTCACCAAAGATGTAAATAAATAAAATTTATTAACAGATCAGGACAGCTATTAGGGAGATGTGATTAAATATACTTTAATGTTTAATGTATTATTATTATTGTTGTTGTTTAGGTAATAAGCATTATAACATAGCACAAATTGGGGGAAAAGGAATTTTCCACAATATACACTTTTTTTTCTTTTTTTTTTATACATATTTATGGCTTTTTTTAACTTTTATTAAAAACGACATTCTTGTACTTGTAGTTATGGATAATATTATACATTAATTACTAATTTTTTTAATTAATAACTATTTGTGCTCAGTTGTTGACATTAACAGCTTTTTGTTGTGTTAAAATTTTGGAATAATGCAATAAAAATTTAAATTTTATCTCTGATAGATGTTGTGATCTGTTAAAACAAAATAAGTAATAATCTTTAAATAATCTTTTTTACACACTAGAATTCACAATTTATAATTAATGACATTTAAAGTTAAATTGTTCATAATTTTATTTCAGGTTTCCTCAGGTCACAGGTTTGAACTTATTAAAATGGATCTGGGGGTGGGTGGGGGTCATTTTGTTAAAAGTTTTACTTAAGTTCCTCCAGCCTCATCTGAATCTTCAAATCCAGAGAAATCGGATCAGCGAAAACGAGTCATTGGTGAAGTAGTAAATTGAATAATAATAATAATAATAATCAAACCTGGACTAGAATTCTTACAGGAGTTGAAGTTAAAATTTGACCTCATAAATAATAATTTATTATTTTGTGTATCAAAACAATGCAACTTTGTGGGGAGATAATCTTAAGAATTCAAACTAAAACAAATGTGTATGAACCAGAAGACAATAAAAATTAAAAAGTCTAAGTTGCATGATAGAAAAGTTATTGTTTTTAATATCATTAAGGTGTTTTTTTTTTATACATTTTATCTTAATTCATTGGATGCTTTTTTTTTTTATGAAAACTTTACTCAGGCTTACAAGAGTGGATTTGAAATAAAAAGATAAGCTCTTGGTAACATTTGAATTCCTGTTCCTTTAAGCTTTCCTTAAAATAAAATTATCAGCCCCCATCTGCAACAAAAACAGTCAACAACTATAAAAGGTATGGAGAATCAAAAAAGAAAGAAAGAAAGAAAGAAAGAACGGTTTTCAGTAAAAGCCCATTTGCCAATTGCAACCAACTACAAGAACTGCATAGGAATTAAAAAAAATAAAAATTTGGACTTTTTTTTTTTTTTAAGTTTACACAGAAAAATTTGTAATTTCCTAGCAATTGTCAAAAATGTGATACGACATGAGGGCTGAAATATTCTAAATGACTCACTTTCCAAAGTCAGGGTCCTGGTGTTCACTCATTAAAATACTGACTTTGGAAAGTGGCTTCAGCAGAGAACTTTTCAACACCCCCTCACCCTCGTGTGTATGTTTTATATATAAAATAATTTTATCAATAATTTAAGTGCTGAAAAATGTTTTTTCTAAATCTTAAGCAACTTGAGAGTAAATAGCACGTCTTGCGGATGAACACAAAAACATTTTAGAAATTAAGAACTTAATATTCCTTGAGAGGTCAAGATAAACTGACTATAAAGTTTCAGGAGTATTTGAGAGTTGGAATTTGAGGTTGAAGAACCTCCTGATATATACTACTGTACACGTGTGTATGCCTAAACTGGATTTATCCGAGAAATGGGATCAACCACCATAGCCTCTTATTTCATTCACCATCGTGAATGACTTTCTAATTCAAAATAAAACCTGATGGATGTTGAAAAGAACGTCACAATCAAAAGAAAGAATTTTCTTTACCTTATAAAATAACCAAAAATGGTTATTTTGGTTTCCTGAAGTGAGTTCGTTCCAAACTTACAAAAACTTCTGTGAAAAACTCAAGTTGTATTAAAGTTCTTGCAGTCAACAAGAATATTTCAAAAGCACTTATCAATGTGATAAAAAATTTCTTTAACTTATTTTCCAGGCTCTTACTAAAAAAATAATCTATTTTCATGAAAGAAATATTAATTTAATAAATAAACCTTTTAAAATAACTCACAAAATATATCAAACAACTTGTATTAATTGTTTGGGGCGGGAGGGGATGGTCGAGTGTAAGAGAACAAAAAAAAAAAAAAAAAGAAAAAGTTTGGCTTTTTTTTTTCCTTCAATGTGATAGAAACGGTAATGTTAGAGTTATAAGGCATCAGTGGCTGTTGTCATGGCTACACAGCAAGTTTTCATGTGGTTAGTCATCACCTTGAAAGGAAGGCAGCACTCAATAGAAAACTTGCAAAGACTCAACATTCAGATTTCGCATTAAAAAAAAAAAAAAATATTAAGACTGGGGTATATCTTTTTTTTTTAACAGATTAAGTATGGCTAAAGCAATTTTTAAAGGAGTGAAAATTATTTTCTTTGAGAAAGTCGGGTGGAGTAAAAGTGCAAAAATTTGGACCAAGGAAATATCAATAATCACATTTGAAAAAACATTTCTGTTGTAGAAATTTCTAATTAAATCTGGAAAAATGTTAGAACAATGATTTTGGTTTTGTTTTTTTCTATGACCAAAAAAAAAAAAAAAAAAAAATCAAAGAGTTCCGGTCACAAGAATTGGTTCTGTCTGTTTCTTTCTCTTTTTTAAAAAGAATTCTTAAACCGTCAACACCATTGCAATAATAATCTGCTTGTTTTTCATGCCAATGACAATGTATGACAGAAGAGGATCCTGGAAGAGAACGGACTTTTTGGTAGAGTGTGGGGAAAGGGGAGTAGAGCCAGGTGGCTAACAGATCAGCACAAATTAGCACACAGTGAATAAGGTCACACACACGCACACTCACACGCATGCATACACAAGGGCTCAAGCCAGCATTTATCACTTGTTTAAGTTGTTGTACATGTTTTCAATTTGTAAGTGGAAATATTTGGCTACATCTTTTCGCTTCACTTTCATCGTTGGGGTCAACAATCCATTTTCAACGGTCATCAATTCTGGGTGGATATGAAGAGCCTTTACCTGAAATGTAAAACAAGATTTAGAAAGAATTTACCTTTTAACAAAATGGAAAATTGCTAATAGTTAAGTGATAATTAAATTGAAATGGTAAAAAAAAAAAAAAAAAATACCCCAATGCAATATTTTATGATCAAATGTCTTCATTAATGTCTTCTTGTATCCAAAATGTAAACTTTATTCCATCTGAATCAATTCACTGTTTATGCAGTGTGTGTATTATATATATATATATATATATATATATATATATATATATAAAGTAATTCATATATATATATAAAAAAATTCATCAACCTCAACAGAATGCAGAAAGCACTGGACAGCTCTTTCATCCTATATTTGGGACTCATCAGCAGTGCACATCCACTACCAAGGTCGCGAATCAGACTCGATATAGCACCGCTCGATCACATATCAGAAATGAGTCACTTTTAAAATAATCATTTAGTATTTTATATTCTCCACCTTAAGAGTCCGAGTTTTCAGATGGAAAATCCTGAATGAATAGAAAATTTTCTGCCCATTCTGAAGAATTTAAATGATTTTTTTTTTTTTTTTTTCTCAAAGTGACTCATTTTCTTTCTCTTTAGTCTCAAGCAATGCCAGCTTTGGGAAAAATAATATAAGATTTAATTATTTTAAACACACACAACACATTTTTTTCATTATTCATCTGATGAAGCCATTAGAGGCAAAATGCATTATCAGATATTATTTTTGAAAACCTACTTTCATGAACGTTTTTCCAAATGTCAGTAACTTATAAGATGGTCAAGATTACATACCCAGATTTATTACCCACACACACACGATTATTTATTTAAAAAAATTATAACATAAATATGTTATAAAATCACTACAAAAATAGCCATTTTGTTTCATTTATCAATAAGACACTAGAGGTGTTGAAACAAAATGGCTATTTTATAATATATTTATGTTATAATTTTTTTAAATAAACAATTATATCTGCTCTACTCTTAAGAATAGTAATTGTTGGTTATTGGAATTCATTCCATATACACCAATTATATACTTGGATGGATATATATATATATATATATATATATATATATATATATATATATATATATATATAATGTATATTTGGGCAGCAACCTTTTTTCAAACATGTTTCATTGAATGTGATAGACAAGGAAAATTGGATGAATCCCCTATTGAGCCCTTCCAGCACTCCTAAATTTCTCCCCTTGGTGGGGGCAAGGCAATGCACACACACACATATCTCAAATTAGAGATCTTACAGCTTATGTGTAAACAGACACTCCCATAAAGTTACTCAGTTGTTATTGAAACACCAGAGAAAGAGTTTGTGTTGTGTATGCGACTGTCATATTCATGACAACTAAGCAAACAGATTTTTCATATTTTGTAGAGAGCTTTTAAATTGTTACCATTTTGAATTTGACAGTGAAGAAAAATGTTTTCAAAACACTGTTCACCTGTACATGTGTATACAGGTTCACTCTTGTACAGTAGTAGCAGCCATTTCTTATTAATATCAAATAGCTGGATACTTTCTGGACAAATAGGGTAATTTTATTTTTATTTTTTTTGCCTATTTAAGGGGGAAAAAAAAGGGGGCTTACCTGCTCAAAAGATGCTAATCCTGCATCTTTGCCTAATTTTGTGAGATCATCCAAAATATCTTTTCTGAGCCTCTGTAAATAAATATATAAATAAAATTATTCCAAAATTATATATAATCCAGAAAAAAATGTTTTTTTTATTTTTTATACCTGATTGACGTTTGTTTACTTGAGTGGTCTTTTCAATTTACTATACACTGTATATATAGTTTTTAAATGGAATTTTAGATTTACAATCAATATCCCAAATTATTCATACCGTATTTTAGGAGTTTTTTTGTAAATAGTGTAAATCATTTTAATCACTCTATTGTAAACATTTTGTTAAGTGTAGTTAAGAAAAAAATAAGAATAAAAAGGAACGTTATAAAAAGAGAAAGACCAAACAAATAAGATATAATAAAGAAGTTAAAAGGGGAAGAAGAGAAAGAAAAGTCGTAAGACGAGCCAATATAATAAATTGTCTTTATTTTATTAATGTATGTATATATTTATTAGTTTGTTTTCTTCTCTTCTTCCAAAAAACACCCCGTCTTGGCCGCATGTAGGAAGATCAGTACAACCAAGCATACCTGATCTATAAGATCGAATAGCCCAAGTGAAGTCTTGATTAGTTGCCGTTTTCTGGGGGAACTTATATAAAGCACAACCTAAAGCTAGTAGCAAATTTTATTCTGGGTGCGGGCCGAATACTGATCATATTTGGTCAGGTTGTCCATCAAAAAAGTCTGTTTATTTAGACCTGAAACTTCTAGTGACATGGGAGCAACAACACTGACGACATACCTAGATTCGGCACTTAAAGGTGTATTTTTAATAAGATGCCAATAAGTCCTGGGTCATGTGTGTAGTATAATGTAGGACTGCCTCAAGCCTGGTGAAGTGCAACAATGCGATGTTGGCATTAATTTCATAAATGGTCAGAAAGATGATGAAGAGATATTGATCCATGTCATAACAATAATTGTTAACACATGCATTGGGAAAAATACAAAAAAAAAGAAAAGAAAAAAAAAAAAAAGAAATAAATAATAACGGAATTATTCGTTTTGTTTCAATTAATTTGCACAAGGGTGTAGAACCAAAATCAGCTTCCACAATGCCTTGCTGATAACTGAGGTCCATGGCTTTGGAGGGTCTGTGCCAAAACCCCAACCCTACCACAAGCCCAAAACAACTGGAACCATGATATATTGAACCACACTGCAAGCTCCAATTAGCAATGTCCTGAGTACAGATGAGGCACTGTACCCAACGTTAACAGGGTCACCCAAGGGTGAAAGGGAGTGAGGAATGATGAATTAACCGATCCCTTTTCTTCATTGAATGGGATTTAAGACATTGTCACTTATACAATTCTAGTTAGATACGTCTGGTCAAAATTAAATTGAATTAAGGACCTATGGTCAGCTATTTGGCTACCTATGATAGGTGGTAATGCATTTCCCCAAGTATCTGCAGTATGCATGATACAATGGAACATCCTATTTATTTAGCACCCACTATCATACTCTGTTCAAACTTTGATAACTCATGTCATCTTGCCATAAACAACCGTAGCCAATGATTACCACATGCCAGAGTACAACTGATAAACACGGCTGTGAAAAACTTTTAGACCACCTTTGTAAATTATGTTTGGTAATTTTATCCCAAAATTGAGAGTGGTTAATAGTATGCTTTTCTCAATACATTTTATGATCTTTGAGGGCCAAAAAACAAGTCACGCTGCATTTTCGTTAATGCTGTCTAGTGGATGATAGAGCATATTCTTAATTGTAGGGATGATGTAAAATGGCCATGAAAAAGTACTGGGCCAGCTTTCTGCTCTTAAGTTAAAGTGGAATTTTTTTTTTCTTCCAAAAAAATGAAATTTATTATTATATTATATTTATTATTATCATAGAGAGTACAAAATGTCAAAGTATTGAGTTAGTAATTGTTAGTAATTAGTCAATGTAGCTACCTTTAACTCAAATAACTTTCTTAATTTGATGTGACATTGAATGGAACAAGATCCAGATTTTCTCACTGGGAATTTTTTCTTATTCTTCTTAGCAGTAATCCTAAATCTCTTGGAGAGTGCCTGGTTTTCATTGGAGAACTTGTTTCTTCAGTTCCCACCCCAATGGTTCAATTGAGACCAGGACTTTCTTCTGGCTAGCCTTTCAAACGATGAGCATCTTCATCCACAAGAAACCTTTTTGCTGCATGTGATGCGTGACAAGGAGCATAGTCATGCCAAAGAATTTCTCCATCTCTGTAGTTTGGCAGAAGATAAGACTGTACTAAACTAATCTCCAGGGTGGTCCGAAAGTCTTGTCACCTCAACCCTCTCTTTCAAACTGTAGGAGCTTATGTCAGCCATCTGAAATAGAAAATTATGTTGGGGTGACAAGACTTTTGGGCCACCCTGTAGTTTTCACTGTTCAGACTTCCATCAACTTTTTTTACCAATTTTCTTCTACCATCACTTTGGATGCAACTTCAAACCATTACATGTCCACTGCCAAATCTCACCTTCTTTGTGGTGTATCTCACATTGTTTCTCCAATTCATCATTTCATATATTTTTTTTTATATATTTTTATTTATTACATGTATTTTTATATATATTTTTTATATATTTATATTATTACATGTGTGTATATATATATATATATATTATATTTTTTTATATTTATATACTCTTGCATTAGAATGTAACTATTTCGCATTCATTAGTAAAAATATCCAGCATCCAATATTAGATGTTATTTTGACCACTTTAATCTTCTATTCCAATGTTTTTGGTTAATGATGGCCTTAGTGCTGTTATATGTCCATTCATGTGTTTTTTCCATAATACTTTCTGTTATTTGTATTGTATCAACTGAAATCTCAGTTAAGAGTGAATTCATTCCTCACTTGTTTGACTGTTAATTTTGGATTGCCTACCAAGACTCTCACAATCTTTACTTCCTCTCTCTTGTTTAACTTTTGGGGTCTTCCAGTTTTCTTTGCACTTAAAACACTTCCAGTCATAGCAAATGTCTTTTGGGTGGTTTTAACACGGTTTCTGGAAATTTCCAGTTGCCTGACTATCGCCACTTTCAAAGTCACAACCTTCATTTTTCATGATTTTAGTGCAAAAAAAAAAAAAAAAAAAAAAAAAAAAAAAAAAAAAAAAAAGAAAAAAAAAGCAAGTTAATATTCAATGACAATGACTTTCCAAGGTACCTTACACTCATGTTAATAAAATGGAACAATTCCTATATAGAAATTTAAATATCATGATGACTTTATTAACTCAGATTCTTCATTGACCCAATAGTTTTGCATGGCCTTTTACCATCTTCAAGCCGCTTAAAGTCGTGATTCTTCTGTTACATGGCACCTATGAAAACACAACAGCTTATTTTCCAATCCTCAAGGTTCACAGACACTACTGATAAAAGTATGCTGCTAAACAATCTTAACTTTTTAATAAAATAAAAGGTGTATAATTATTTGATGTAGATGTTCTGAAACTTTTGCACACCAGTATAGTTCTGGGTATTTCCATGGTGCCACCTACCATTGCCTTTACATACTGCTATTCTATGACTTTTGGCATGTTAGGGTAATAAAACAGAGGCATAAGCAGCAAATCTATTTAAAAAAAATTCTTTTTAACGTATTCTAGGTGCACAGAAAATGCCATTTATCTAATACAAATTCCCATGATGGTGGTACTTCCAAAGTTAATTCTGGCACATGGCTTTAGGAGAATACTAATTTTTGACCAATGATGTCAACTTAGTTTTCAACCCAAGAAAGATTTCTATAATTCTTGAAAAGGAACTAAAAGAGAAACTTACAGGGTCTTGGGCCATTTGTGCCATGGAGCATTTCTCCAGGCCATACGTCGTAGAAGCATATCTGGATAAGACTGCTTCATCTGGAACACAAACAGCAACCAGAAAAGCCTAAAAAGAGAAAACAAAATTGCTTAAAAAATAAAGTTTCCAATATGAAATTGGTAAATAAAACCAGGGATGATTATCTTTACCTTAGAGCAGGTTAATCACATTTTTATGTGTCTTTGGGTTTCAAAATTTTCAGCCTTTTCATTTCCAAAAATCAGAATGCTACTTTGTCACTAGAGCTAGGAGTGTTCTTTCATATTGTAAAATGTCGAAAGTGTGCTTTTTAGTCATTGAACCATGTCAATGAAAAGTGGGAAATCATCAAGTGCTGACCTCTTAACTATCATGCAGTTCTGGAAAAAGAGAACGCCCAGAGAAATACACAAATATTGGGTGGCATCATCACTCTTAACTGTGAAGAAGTTGGGTTCCAATTTATGGAGATAGATATTCTACATGCAGCACAGACAATGACCAATATAAAAAAAATGCTATATAGAGATTCTTGGTTGGTTCTGACCTTGCATCTCGGCTTCAGTCACTTTCCCAATGTTGTAACGAAGCTTCCCCCATGCCTTTGGTATATATATATATATATATATATATATATATATATATATATATATATCATGGTAATTGTTCTGATGAGCTTTCCTCTATGGTACATAGACTATATGAATCTAAGTAAAGTACTAGATTGGAGACAGTTTTTCATCATTTTACAGTTGAAATGGCTAGATGGAACTGTAAGTTCTATGTTAATAGTTTCTTCTATATTGCACTTCTTGTTTATGAAACTCTCTTCCAGCCTCTTGTTTTCCAACCAACTTTGATTTTCAAACATTTAAATGTCATGTCAATCTTTATCTTCTGTCTTCTTAATTCCCATTCTTTTGTTCACTTTATTAAAAAAATTTTTCTTCTCACATTCTCTCACACTAAGTAATCTTTGTATCTTAGTGGTTTTATTGCCTTGCTTAGGGTGAAATGATTAAAAAAATAATCATGTCTGCCATTGCATTTGATACCTAAGAGTGGTTAAGTAATGAAAATATCTGACCATAAAATTTTAGGCAACAGACAACACTCAGCAATTTATGCAATATGTAAGAAGAATATATTTAGTCCTTTTGGCTATCTTTTGAATTCGTTGTGAGGCTTTATTGGCAGTAAGTCAGGGGGAACCTTACTGCATATGCCCAAGCAGACATTTTCCCATAAGGTTACTCAGTCAACAATGAAACACCATGAAATGAGCTTGTGTACTATGTGATCACTCCTATTCATAATGATCAAACAAATAGATTATTCATGTATTGTGCAGGGTAATTTTGGTTACACATTGTGTTACCCAAGCCTTTTATCAACACCCTAAAGGTCTGTCAAGAATCTAGTTAGCCCTTTTCATTATCTTGAGAAATGTTTGTGAGGTTTTGATATAACTTGGCAATTACCCAAGATTTTTATCAACACTCTAAAGTCCATATTTAGCTCATTGCAATTCCTGGCTTTTCTCAAAATTAAAATTGTTATTCTAAAGGAGATTGTTACAAAGCAGCTGTTGTTGGCAATCAGAAAAGATTACTTTACCGACTTTGAAAAAACTGTACAAGTGGCATTAGGATAAATGTGTGAGTTTCCAGATCGAATGCTTTAAAAGGCAACAGTACCATTGCCTTAGGTAGACAATTACAAATACTTTAAAAGGCAACAGTACTATTGCCTTAAGTAGACAATTTTTTTTTAAAAAAAGAGGATTAGAGAATATTTGAATAGTTTTATATTTATTATATGAGAAGTATTTCTCTCAATTTCTCAGAAAGCAATAGATTATAAAAAACAAAATTGCAAACCAAATCAAGTCAAAGTGACTTTAAAATCTTCAACTTATTGCAAATGACAATTGAAATATGTACTTACTTGTAAGCTATCACCATGAACAAATATCTGTGATATAAATGTACTTTGAATATAAATATTTTCTATTTTCTCAGGAGCAATATACTCGCCCTGAAAGAAAAGCAAAAAAAGAGAGAATCAGGGAAGAGAAATAATCAAGGAAACAGTAGGATGGAGGGGGGGGCAGAGAGAACGGAAAGAAAAAATTAAATTCAGAATATGTCTGCTAAATACAAAGGTTGATTCTTTTTTAAAAATCATCTGAGAATAGCATACATAACTGTAAAACTGAGTTGTACAATTCTACGAGCCTTTGCAAGCTAACTGCTCTTAAGAGTCATCTTAAACAAAAATACTGATACCCACCTTCCTCCAGATTTCAGAGTGATTCTACCTGAAAACTTCTAAAGTAGAAATAGACGAAAGTGTAAACCACTGGTAAATTATTCAGACTTGGTTGATATTTCAGATCTTTCCCAGTCAATATATCTAAGTTATCAATGTTATGCTATTTATTCTTGCTTGACAGCCAGAGCTGGCTGAAATGCCATTTTTTTTTTTAATGGTTTTCCTTCTGGAAAATGAGAAAGTCACAATTACCCATCAAAAAACGCCTATTCATCAACTCGTTATTTGATGCTAGTGTTCCAAGAATGAGAATTCCAGATGCCTTAAGGGATAGGCAAATATTACTTACTCCAATTCTCAAATTCAAGGGACATGATGATTCCCTTAGATTTGGCACATAGTATAATCCTTCTTTAATCTTTATGCCTAATCCCTATTGATTAATCCTTATGCCTAATCCTCATTGATTAATACCTTCTCAATGTTAAGAGAGAAAAACATCCCAGCCTATTTCAAATATCCATTTTCAAAAAGCTACAGAACTTTTTTGTATAATAATATCCCATGACTTATGCAATCTAATTGTACAAGGCCCAAGAGTCACTCAAAGTAGAGGGTTACAGAGTAAGAGGTAAGAGGCACAGTATATGGGGATATGTGGGGAAGATAACAGTTAGCCTTAAACTTGAACAGGTTGCAGTGATCAGGGAAGCATCCTCTTGGGAGTTGGTTCCACAAAGTAGCGCTTCATGGGGAGAAGCTGCTCAAGTGGAACTTACATCTCAACAATGGTATACAAAGGGAACAAGGGTGATTTGCTACAATGGGTGTGGCAGGGCAGGTATTAGCCGTGAAAATTGGAACTGGTTGAAGTAAAGAATTTGGTTCGTTTCAGCACTTTTCATAGAAATAGCAATAGAGCAACGAGTGACTTGCAACATTTTGTCTGTGGGAAAAGAGGTTGTAGGGTGGAAAATAATTCACCACCTACTACAAGTGGAATAAACAGAGTGTATATCATTCTCTTAGCACTTATTTCTTTAAACGTCAAAAATAGGTAAGTATATGACCCCCTCCCACCTATTCACTTCCATAACAACAATATACAATTTCTAAAATACTAGAAAAGTCATAGCAATGCACAAGCATACACTATATTCTCTTCCTTCTCAAGGGTTGCATTTGCCAATCGGCCAACCAGGAAGAGAGAAAGGCTTACCCAAAAGATAACACAGAACCCTTAATGAAACAAATCAATCAATGTTTGGCATCATATTTTACAGCAATCTCAGATTTTTTCCCAATATTTATTATGGAAGTAACAGTCTGGGATTTTTATCAGTAGGGAAAGTGGAATTAGGGGAGATGAACTGAAATACCTGACTACTCAGCTGCACTCAATTTTGCACAAATGCCCTTTGAAAATGGCAAAGGTGGACTAGACTGTTCCCTAGCCTTGGTTGACAGTTAGTCTAGGAAAATAACTATTATGATTTCAAAACCAGGGAGAAGGCAATTGTAACTCACACCATTATCTTTCCCAAAAGTTTATGGTAATTCATAGATAATAAAGAAAGGGATTCTATGGAGAGCACTGGTCATCTATGCCTTGAGGGGACATGGCATATAAAAAAAAAACACAAATAAATTAAAAGAGGAGGAGAGTATTCAGTTTCATTTCAAATTTTATTTTTGCCATTATAATAAACCTGTTAATTGCAAACTGTCTTCAGTACTATGAATCAAGCTAAAGACATTTATTTTGACAAATTATTTTCCACTCTACCTCTTTCCCCACAGACAAAATGTTGTAAGCCTTTCACTACCCTATTGCTATTTCCATGGAAAGTGTCCAGATTGACTATATTCCTTAGTTCTTTAAATAGCAAGGGGGGGCAGGTTACACACACACACACACACAGCTTTAAATGAACCAATATTTTAATTTCTTCATGAATGGCAACATCAATTCATAATTATTGATAATGTAAACAGCAGCAGAAAAATGTACTGTGATGTTTATTTTTGTCCCAATGATGCAATTACGGAAACACATTAATGATTGCTTTGGCAAACACTAGCCAATGAATGGATGCTCCCAAAGTGGCCTGCTGGTCAAGCAATCATATATCTCAACTTGACTCGCTGCCCAACACTTCTGGCATCATTTCTCTTCAGTGCACTTTCAGGCATTGTTACTCATCTTCCCCCACCCTGAATAAAAACTAAAATTAATATCCTACATGACAGAAGGTTTCATATAAATTAAAATTTAATCATTTGACTTTCTCACTGGGTATTCTTCCTCTAGAAGAAATGTCGATTTATTTTATTCAATCTTTTGACTGAATCACTAGACATTCCAACTGGTAAATGTTTGGCGAACATGGGTTTAAAATATTAGAATGAAAGGGTGTAGCATCTTTGATTTGAATCTAGGAAATCATAAAATTATTAATAAGGATATTTGGCATTGCCTGGACAAAGTAACTTCAAATAAAACAATAATAGATGCACTAAAGCCAGGTATCCAGAAACCCTACCAAATTAAGGTGGGCATATTATTTGTGAGAGGGGGTATCAGAATATTTTTTTTTTTTCACGTAATACATAATTTTCATGCATAAATGTTAATCCCACCAAGATCGCATATATAAAGAATCTATCCCCTATCCAAGAACATGGCACTCTTTGAGATACATCAAAAATATCTCCAAATTGAAATTTGTAGAAAAACTAAAGATTAAGAGATTCTCACCTGTCCTTGGCCAGCCTTGTTGGTTGTTAGGAGGTTGGATCCCCAAACATTTTTTTTCATATTGGCACACAATAGAAGATGCATTTATGTACCCACAAACTCTGTCAAACTAAGGGGAATACATTGTTTTTTTTGGGGGGGACATCAGAATATTTTTAATAAACATACTTACATTTAAATAAACTAATAATTTATAACCGTATCTCTTTTGTTCTTGCATTCACAGGGATGTTTAGTTGTTAGTCTATTACCAATATCAATTTGGTTTTAACTAAAACTTAGGATGCACATAATGATTTTCATAATTCTTGACCCTCCCAAGTTGTGCAATGGGGCTTCCCCACCCCTCATGGACAAGCATTTTCTCCTACGTGTCATTAAGGTAACTATCCTAATTGCATCCATTGACAGAATTTCTATCATCCCAACAGATTTGTCTTTGGAATCCAATATCCCAGATATACTCAATACTTGCATCTTTTTTCAAAGCAATCTCTCAAGATCCCTGGCCTCAACCTGACTTCTATTCCCTCCACCCATAGCCAGCCCTGTTGAATGTTATGGAGTTGGATTCCCAGTCTTTTCATATTCATACACAATAGAAGATGTATTAAGGCACCCAAAAGTCTTATCAAACTAACTTTTTGTTTTGTTTGGAGCACAGAATATTTATTTACTAACATTTACTTTTTAATGTCAAGCTTAAAAAAAGCATTGCACCTGATACTTTATTTTGTCATGATGTCCAAACATACACAAAAATTGACAGAATACAGGCAATATATTGTGCTTCAAATTTAATAAAAGACAAATAGAAACTAAAACTAATTTTAAAAATAATATCAACAAACTCACCTGTGCAAGTTTGAAAATGTTCTTTTTTCTGTCAATAATTTTCAAAGTACCATTCTGTAAAAGAACAAAATAAAAAAAAAAGACATTAAAAAAATCATATTTAAACATTTTATATTTGTTGTATCCTTGCTAATTTCCAAATGGAAAGTTTACAGAGAAAGCAGAAATCAGTAAATTTCTTTCCCAAAATCCCAAGAAACATTTACAATCAATTATAAAAAAAGGGGAAAAAATAAATGAGATTTTCTGCATAAGTTTCTTTCAAACTACAGAATAAGTTTTGTTGAAAGACAACAGCCTGATAATTGAAAACAATTATCAAAATAACAAAGGTAAGGATACTTCTTTACACCAAATACATGTGCAGTCTAGAATAGTAATGTCAGTAAGAATTTTTCAACTGGTAACTTAAAAGTTGAATAAACTTAAACACAATGACTGAGCTGTGGAGAAAATCGTTTGAAAAATAAGTGTGCCATACCAAATAGACACTGGGCAAGGGGAGAGGCTTGAAGGAAATATTATATTGAATCAATTGCTCAGTCTGCTGCTAGGAAAATTGTTTCACTGTGCTGTGTGGGACAATTTTTTCTTGCCAGAATCTATTTTACATATTTAATAAGTCTACCATTTGTCTATGCATTGAATATTGCTGCTATATTTGGTCTGGTGTTTCTGCTATGGACTTGTACAAAGAATTTGTAAGGTTACTGTTCCTGACCTGGCATCTCGGCTTCGATCAGTTTCTTAATGCCGTAACATAGCTTCTCTGAGCATTTTTTATAAATATTTTCATAGTAATTATTCTGAACACCTTTCCTCTTTAGTACCTTGACTTTATGAACTTAAGCGTTGTACTAGATTAGTGTCAACATCTCATAATTTTAGAGTTGAAATGGCTAGACGTAACTAAGTTCTATACTAACATTTTTTTCTCTTGCTTGTGGAACTCTTCCAGATTCTTGCATTCCAGTCAACAGTGAAACATCACAAAACTCCTATTCATAATGACCAAACAAATAGATTATTCATGTTTCATGCAGGGTAATTTTGGTTACACATTGTGTTACACAAGCCTTTTATCAACACCCTAAAGGTCTGGCAAAAATGTATTTCACCTTTTTCATTATCTTGAGAATTGGTTTGGTTTATGGCATATCCAACCTCAATCGGTTATTTAATGCCAACAAGATTTTTACTGCTGGTAATATTTTTTTTTCCAAAAATGCATTGCTGGTACTAAAACCTATTTTTACACTTTCATAATGTTTTGACCCCACTTTGGGGTTTGTTTTTTTTTAACTATTTGCCCATAGATGGGACCTTAACAGGTGTTACCACCCCGGGTCAGGGTGGACCTGAGAACACTAGCAATTAAGAGATGGTTCCATGCTCCTCAAGACCTCCCATTGCTGTTGGATGTAGTTTATCATCTTGCCCAGGAAGCGGATGTAGTTTATAGTCTTACTCAGGATTCCTTCAGAATTGTTTGTGAGACTTTGATATAACTTGGCAATTACTAAAGTTTTTTTTATCAATACCCTAAAGCCCATATTTATCTTTTAACCCCTGGCTTTTCCCCCAAATTAAAACTTATTCTAAATAAGATGGTTTCATACTGTGAATGAAATCAAGACGATTGTGACACCAACTTCTTAGAAAAAAAATAAATACAAGCAGCATTAGGATAAATGTGTGAATTTCTAGAGGGAGTACTTTAAAAGGAAAAAATACCATTGCCCTAGGTAGGCTTTATTTTTCTTTTCTTTTTTTAATACTCAGAGGTTAAATACTTGCAAGTCTGACATCATAACATTTTGGATGTGTTGTGCCCAAACATCTTTTCCTTTCATGATACAAAAGTTTTCTTTTTGTATTTACAAAATCATGCTTTTAAAATCAGAATAATAAAAAAAAAAAAATTAAAAAAATATGGTACATGGGAAACAAAACTGTTCTTTTAAAAAAATGAATTCCCCAAGTTATAAATAAATTATGACAATAACTTACAGGTAACCATTCTCCAACATCACCGGTGTGCAACCAGCCATCCTCATCCAAGACTTCACGAGTTCTCACTTCATCCTTGTAGTAACCTTTGAAAACATTCTTTCCCTTCACACAAATCTAAAAAAGATTTTTTATATTATATTTAATGAAATATTGTCAGTGTGATTATTATCAATTGTTAAAAAGTTTTAATAAAGAGATGCAATGAAACAAAAGTTTTTGAAACATTATATTAATTTTTTCTCAATATCATTTCATACTATAAAATTTGGCATTTAATATAACAGTGATCTGAAATGGAAACACCTCTCAAAAGAAAAAGATTAGCAACAGAATGATAAAGACAGCCATGACAAAGTCTATCTCAAGACCAAGTTGAAGTAAGACAATCAGTAGACAAAAGGTATCTCAGTGTCTCACAAGAAAGGCTTGAACAAATAAGACTGTGGTCTAAAAACAATAATTAATTAAATGGTTTATTTTGTGCTGGAACTAATTTTGTCTAAATAAAGATAAATATTTTATTTGTATGGATTAAGTTGACTAAGGGAAGTAACCACTCAAATTTACTACTTTAAGTTGATTTACCTCCCTTTCTACTATAGAATGTGGCACGAAAAATATAAAATAAATAAATACAAAATGGTAATTATTATATAGTACATTAAAATTATATTATAATAATTGCTCACATATTTCATTTGAAAAAATATTAATGATCACCATGAAAATATATATTGAAAAATTAAAAAATATTTGAAGAAAAAATCTTTCAGATTTAAAACTTGAATTTGATCCAAAAAATGACACATGACAAAAGTTCTGCAGATTAGGACACAAAATGTATTAAATGAAATTAACAAGTTTCTTGTTTGTTACTAAAATATCACTTGAGTTTATTTGTCAAAAAAATCAGATACAAACTAAGGAAAATGGTTTCAAGTCAATCAAAAATTTCTGAAATTTATATTCAGACTATTTTCCTCATCTTTGTTGTTAGAACAACATTTTGGCTGTTGTGCTCTCCGACCTTCCTCATGTATATATTAATCTGGGTAACCTACAAGAAATATGCTAGGCTATGAGGAACTCCTTAGCAGGATCAGCATAGAAATAAATACAATATGAGAGCTGCTAATAAGGAAAAACAGATGGCAGCAAGTCTTCAACTGCAGCAGCAACATTCAAAATATGACAGACAGAAGCAGTTACAACCTAATCAGCAGCCAAGTTAGGTTTAAAGCTCCAAGTTCATTATAGCAAATTGTCCTAAAGGACTACTTAATTAAAACATTGGTTTGTAGATTTGGTAATAGTGATTGTGAGTTCGATCCCTAGGTTGGGCAGTATGTACTTGCAATTCCCTGTAGGTTAGACATTACAATATACACCCAAGGAAAGACACAATGGCCAAAACATTGTGATAACAAGATGAGGACAATAGTCTAAATATAAATTCAGACAGAAAAAACATGTATCTGCATGTACATCAATTATAGGGAATTTACTATGATATCCCCACAATAAATACACCTTCCCTCCTATAATTTTGCTTAAAATAAGAATAAACCATATTGAAAAGAAATTTACTTCATTCTGAAACAGGGACAAATTAAAGTCAAAGATACAGACAAGTTATTTAGATTTGGTTGATATTTAAAATATCAACTATGTTTTCAGGTCAGCTTGCAGCTTGAGATAACCAATGTTTGTTTGCTAAGATGACAACATCAGAATGGCTATGAATAATTCTATAGCAAAACCAATATTTAAGAATGGAATAATATACAAAATGTAAAATAAGTTTAGTTTAATTTGAAATCCAGATTATGGGATTGGTACTATTTTAATAGTTGATGGAGAATTAATTCATTTTCTATATCTGTCTATATTTAAATTTTCCCTCTGAAAGTTCTCCACTGCCTTAACCAGGTGTGAGTTCAATACCCGGTTAAGGCAGTGCAGAACTTGGAGAGGGGAATTAACAGGAGATAACTGATAACTGACATCCATTAGACATGGCACGCGGAACTAGAACAGTCTACCCCAGTGAGCGAAATAAAGGGTTCAGTTCGACATTCCAACCACCTGAAGAAGGACAGAGTGTACAACGGCTGAAACGTAAATAGAAAGATGAGGACCACAGTCTGAATAATGTAAATAATGTTCATTTTCTATGTTGAATGAAAGAAATTCACTGCATGCTCCTCAGAGTCAGTTGTAGTAATTAAAGAAATAGGAAAAAAAATAACAGCAGTTTAATCAATGCCCTTTGCACTCTCTCCAGTAAATTGCTTCAAAATTTGAGTTTAATAAAAAAAAACTGTAGCCTACAAATTGTTACGAAAACCTTCTGGAGGTTCAAAAAATTTAAAGTAATTTATTTAGGATTAATTTTTTTTTAATTTAAATATCGCTTATAAAATCCTGAGAGTGAAAATGCATTCACCTGTTCAAGTGACATAATGCAGTAATTAGGCTTTTTTTTCTTTTAACTATCTCGTGCATGCTGACTAATACCAAAGCAAAGTGTTAAAAAAAAAATACACAATAAAAAAACCCAAAAAAACTTCCAGGCTTATTACAGGTGACCAACAATCAGACATGATATACTTACTTCACCATTATTCTCTGATGAAAAATAATTCATCTCAGGAATGTCAACTAATTTTATATAACAACAAGGCAATGGTGGCCCAACCTCACCTAAAAATAAACAAAATAGTTTTTTTAATTTTCTTTAAACATTCAAGTAGAATTTTTAATGAGGTAAAAAAGAAAATGGCAGATTCTATCAAAAAGCTTCTTATTTTGATTAAACATTATAAAAATACACACAATTTTTATTTCTATAATAAAGTTGCACATAATACAAAGACAAAATGAAAGCCAGACTCGTTCTTTTTGAAACCAGACTACTTATATATATATATATATATATATATATATATACACACATATATATATATCTTATAGCATTCATTTTGACAGGTTTCAAATGTCAATGGGCAAGTAATCTGGTGCAAGAAAGAAAAAAAAGTAGCAACGGATTTAGTTTCATCCCATTGTAAGGAAATAAAAGAAATGTTTTTTTCTATGGTTACCTTATATAGGCACATCTGCACAAATATGAAGTGAACTAACTAGTGTAACTAGTACAGGGACTAGAAGTTAGTCAATAAGTCATTTGTGAGAAAGAGAGGCAAACAGATGAACAGAGACATAAACACAGAGAGAAAAAAATCTTTTTTGAAAAAAAATACCCATATAAAAAAGCAATAAAAAGGTGAAAGAAAAATTTAGTTGAAGGAAACAAAATCAATAAGAATCTTTAACTGTATAATTTTAAAAGATCATTTTGAGGCAGACATAATTTTAAAAGATCATTTTGAGGCAGACATAATTTTAAAAGATCATTTTGAGGCAGACATAATTTTAAAAGATCATTTTGAGGCAGACATAATTTTAAAAGATCATTTTGAGGCAGACATAATTTTAAAAGATCATTTTTTTTTTTTTTGCAAAGTGAAACACTTTATTACCTGCAATAACAAATTGAAAAGATGGAAAAAGAAAAATGTTAGAAAATCACTTACCAATTTCCCTATCACCTATATGTTGCAATGAACAGACACCATGTGTTTCTGTCTGGCCATAACCTTCAACAATCTACAAAATTAAAAAAAATTGCATTTATTTGTCTTTTTTTTTTTTTTATTGGAATTCTTGAAGGTTGATAGAGGTATACATAAATTTGAGAGTTCATATTGTTTAATAACCAACATTTTTATTTTATGGACATTTTTCCAGTTACCTTATCATGCAACATTTGAAGAGCTTAAATTTGAAACTAATTTTAAGAGGTTTACATCATACACAAGATATAAAATTAGCATATGTACTGTTGGCCCTGGATACACCATTGACCAAACCATATATCCATTTACTGTAGTAGAAAAGTACAGATGTATTTAAAATAACCATGATTTTGATAAAACACAAAAGTTTCTGATAAACGTAAAAGAGAAAAAAATAAACCCAAGAAACTAAACATTTGTTAAGGTTTCATATATTATTTTTTCTGAAGTTATTGAATATTGCTTGAAGATGGAACAATAATTTTAGTTCTGAAACATTGAAATTTTTGTGTTGCAATGGAAAAATATTTTTAAATAATAAAAAAATAATATATATATATATATATATACACACACACACACAACAAACAGGCAGAGAATTAATATATATATACTGGTGCGATGGATAAATTGTCGTCTAAATTATGCAAAAATTGAAAATAATACTGACATCTCATTTTAATCCCTTCCTCAAAGTAGACATGTATATATGTTTTCACCAAAAGTGTCCTTTTCAGGCACAGACGAATAAACACGTCCAAAACAACACTCTAAATACATCTGTCTTGATTCTTTTTATGTCCTTCTGAACTTAAAATGAGTCAAATTGTCAACTCATACCTCTGGTAGAAGTGTTAGCCACCACTTGGGTACTTAAAACCGCCTCAGTGTCTTAGTTAATATATTAAAAACAAAACATTTGTCTAAAAATGAAACATTTTCCCCCAAAATAATTGGCAGGGAAGGGGCTAACAGATATATTTACCAAAATTACACTAAAATATCTTGAAATACTAAAGAGTAAATTTATTTAAAAAAAAAAAAAAAAAAAGAAGTCGCCATTGGCTTCAACCATGACTTCCAGATTCGGAATCACCTGCAACTCTTCTGCACGGTCTACTTGTTTAAGTTGGGGAATGTTACCGTAATCCTTGCCTTCATCTTTGGTGCTACAAGGAGTTTTATTGATTTCTCACTCAACTGTGCTCCATACACAATAATCAAGGGGGTTGCAGTCTGGGGAGTTAGGTGGCCAGGTGTAAGGGGTGATGTGATCGCAGAAATTGTCTGAAAGCCATGACTGGGTTCTCTTGCTTGTGTGGCATGGTGCAGAATCCTGTTGCCAGAGACAGGGAGCAGTACCTTCTCATGGCACTTGATGTAGGTCTTCATGTTAAGTCTGAGGCCCTGTGAGGAGATGAATGGAAGCATAACATCGCCATCACTAGTGGTCACTCCAAACACCTTCGTAATCACCATTAAACTCATCCAATTCTTTTTAATATTCTGTCCTCAGATTGACACAGAAACATTGCCAAGCATGCCGTTTCAAAATTTCTGGTGGAGTGAATTGTGTCATGGTGATCTTTTTTCCCACAGACGGTGCCCAACTGACCCTACTATACTGTGCAATCAACAAATTTGAAAACAAGCAACATGCATGTATGAAATTAAAAATGTAAAATGGTACCAATTTATCAATCACTCCCTATATATATATATATATATATATATATATATATGTGTGTGTGTGCGCACACAAACATAAAATGTAATGTACAACATGGAGAGAGAAACCCTTCTCTAGTCCTTTTTTGGGGATTAATTCAGATAGCACTTACACACCCACCCTTAATGTGTAATGTGATATAAAAAGGTGTCAGAAAGTGTCTATAGATATATAAACAAGCACACAATTTAGATCAATACTGATTTTAACTTTATTTATAGCTTTAGATCAAAAAAGGTACTCACCACACAGCCAACTACGCAGCGTAAAAATGATAGGACATTTGATGAAAGAGGGGCAGAACCTGTCGCAATTAATTTTGTACGACCACCTAAAGATTGTTGGATATCACGGAAAACTAACTTGTCCCAAAAACTGTCATTTCGAACAATTCCCCTAAAAAGAAAAGAGAAAAATCTTAATAGAAAATTTCTAGAAAAATATTTTCTTAAAAACATAAAAGCCTTAATTCTGTTTTCAACATAAATTTCACTTTAATTACAACTTCAAATCCATGAAAGAAAAAAATAAATCACAAGATTTACATATGGATTACCAATTCTGTATAAGATCAAAGTGTAGTGTGTGTGCACTGAAAGGATCTAAAACAGCAGTTCCCAAATGGTATAGTACACCTCATAGGTGCATCAAAAGAGGATAGCAGGTGAGGCAGAATGATTGAAAGACAAAGATTTAGAAACAGTTTCAAAAAATCCCTATGCCAAAAATAAATATGATTTCAAAATTTAAAATATTATTATGGATTACTTGTAATTGCATGAATGAGTCCCAGTAGAAATAGTTAGAAATAATTATTGACTGATTTTATTATGATATTTTTGCATTATATCAAAGATTAAGAATATAGTAACTAGGGTCAGCAAATTGGAGGAGAGAGTTATCAATGATAATGTTCTGACTTTGAATCCGCAGTTATCTCCCTTTAACCCTTTTATTTTTAAATGTACTTTTTATCACATAAAATTTGGTGACATGTGAACAAATTTTCCTTCTGAAAATGTGGCCCAGAGGAAAAAAAGTTTGGGAAGCACTGATTTCCAGAGACACAAACATATGCCACCAATTCTGCACATTTCCAAACAGAATTAGGAAAAGAAAAATGAGGAAATGACAAGGAAAAAGCAAAAAAGAAAGAAATTTTGGAAAGAAAGAAATGAGACAAAAAAACAAACAGGCGGGATGTCTTGAGGTATCTTCTTTACCCCTTTGAAGTGGGTGTGAAGCTTTAATTTCTTTTGAAGCATAACACACCAATAATCCTTCACATGAGTAGCATAAAATAATCTTTTAGAGTTATGCTTCACTTAAACTGTTATTATTTTATATCTTTAATCCCTTAGCATTCAACATGCTCAAAGCCGCACTCATAAATATCAATTCTCAAATCTCACTGTTTGCATGACATCTTGCATTATTTGAAATAAATTATGGCAGAGGTTACATGGGCGTGGGTTACAGCAAGTTGAACACTGAGAGCTGATATTTACAGAGAAGGTTTGGACATGTTTAATGCTAAGAAATTAAATGCTTTTTTATCATAAATGCCACCCTGGCTATTAGGTATTTATTGGTATTGAGTGGGTTTTCAGAAAATGTTTCTCACTTGAGGTGCTGGAGTGGCAGATGGAAACTCTGAAAGAGGCAATTGTGCAATATATTCAGTCTGGAAGCCATATTATTTCAGATGGCTGGGCTGCTTATGCTAGAATCTAGGAAATCAACCATGGGATGTACTCTCGTGACGTCGTTATTCATCAGTAGAATTTTGTGGACCCTGTAGTCCAAGAACAATCCAGTGTTTCCAGCATTTACTTGCTTCATAGTCCCCCCCCCAATTTCCAGTTATAATAATGTTTAAATGTAACATACATATATACCTGGTCTTATTGATTTTATGCCATTCAGGGAATAGTTTATTTTATGCCACTTAAGTGAAGGATTATAAGGATAATAACTGTGTTAGAAGTCAAGTGATTGTTTACATATTACAAGAAATAAAAGCATGAAGAAGAAAGATTTCATTTGATTTATTTGTTTAATGGTATATTAATTCCTTATGGGTCATTTAATGCCAGAATTTAATTTCCTTGTGAGCTTTGAAGTAATAAAAATATGATACATGTTATTCTGCTCATAATAAACATATATTACCCTAGTCTTATTGACTTCACACTATTCAGAGAATAGCAGTTGATTTTATGACACCTAAGTGATGGATTATCTTTATCTCTGTTTAGTCTTTAATGAAATATGAAACAACCATTGTGTAAGAACTATTAAGGAAGAAATGAAGGTTCAAATAAGAACGACTATTTAGTCTTACTAGCTTGTCAATGTTTCAATATAACAGATTTAACTACAATGCACTATGAAGCATTTAAGTGCCATATCTAGTTTGGCCAGCAAAGAAAAAGAGCTAAATGATATTATCTCTTGTTGTATTTGATGTTTCAATAATTTGCTTATTAATTTGCTTTGAATCTCAAGGGATATTTTGCAGATGTTTATGATCACAGTTATTAAGGTTTCCAACAGTGAGACATTCTGATAAAAAACTGAAAGATCTGCTTCACTTAAATGGCATAAAATAAACTGTCATTTTATATCTTTAAATGTTTTTTTCATCATAAATATCACCATGGCCAATGGTACCCTGGCCATTAGTTATTTGGTGGTGTTGATGGGATTCAGGAAAGTGTCTCTTAGTTGAGCTGCAGAGCAGGAATATACCTTGGTTTTATTGATTTTACACCATCCAGGAAATAGCAGTTTGTTTTATGCCATTTTAATAAAGGATTACCAAACACACCTTATAAAGGAGGTTAGTAGATGTTACATTACTGATATACAGACATTGAAAATTCTAAATAATAAGAGTTCCGTTTAAAAAAAAAAAAAAAAAATTGCCAAAATTACATAACATTTTTATTTCTTGAAAAGAACTATTTTTAGTATTCAGACAGGTGTGTTACTCTCTGTTAATATTTTTAAGAGACAGTATCACGGCTGTCTGAATTCATTAGTATTCATATGTATACGAGAAGAAGCTAATAAGTTTTTGTCTAAAGCCATTCCTGAAGAAATGCCCAAACAATATTTTTTTTTTTTTTAAACACCTTCTTGATCAGGAAAAAAAAAAAATTTTAGCAGGCTTCTGGTTCTGGGTTAATTTGCAGTGTAACACCCACACTCAGTTTGCATTAAAAATTTCCAAAATACTTACATATATGTGTAATTGTACATGCTCCATTTGAATCTGGCTTGATCAACTTGATAAAATCGGTAACTCCAAAATGGTAGATTTTATCAAATTTATCAAGCCAGATTCAAATGGAGCATGTACAATTACACATAAATGTAAGTATTCTGGAAATTTTAATCTTAACTGAGCGAGGGTGTTACACTGAAAATTAACCAGGTTCTGTTATTAAGTAATAGTTTTATAAAATTGAGAGAAAAGAAAATGTTTTGTGTAATTATTATTAGAAATTTTGGTATGTTAGGGTACAAATCAACAAAACAGTTTCCGGTGATAAAATCTGCTAGAATTACCTCCCATTTCTATTGTAACACTTCTACACTTGTAACTACATCACCAATCACCATGTTGTAGCTCAATTAAACTTCAGTAAGCACCACTAACTGTCATTATTCATTACACAGGTAGGAATATCTAAAAAGGGTCTTTTAAAAACTTACAGAATTTAGAGAGATAAAATAATTAAGAAAACCATAATTTGAAATGCTAAAGGAAACATTTGCTAATCTTTCTACAAAACTGAGTAGTTACAGATCTTACCTTTTTAATTCATTTGATTTTGCTGTGAGAGCCATGTTGAATATTAGTTTTTTTATTGAACTTGCATTCACTTTTTCTAAAATCTGAAAGAGAGCAACCAAAATTTACACAAGAGAAACAATATTGTTCAAAACAAGAGAATAATGTTGGAAAAAAGTAGCAAAGATTTCAGAAAGGTTTATTTATACCTGGTCAATAAATTTGCTGATATAGAACTATTTGTGATTTAGTGTTATTTAATTTGCTTATAAATTTATAAAAATGTACATTCGTCAATCATTCTATCTCAAAAAATATGTGCATAAATATTGAATATATATATATATATATATATATATATATATATATATATATAATGAAATATATTAATTTACACTATTTACATTGTTCATAATGTTGTTTTCATCTTTGTTACCGTATTCACAATGTTCTAGTCGTCGTACGCTCTGGCTTTCTTTGGGTGACTGGAATTTCAAACTGGACCCTTTATTCCGTCTACAGATTGTTCTAGTTCTACATGCCATGCCTCTTCCGAATGTCTCTGTATCAGTTATCTCCCTCAACTCTCCAAGTTTTTGTTGTTATTGAACTCACAACTCTCTGGGCCAAGTCACTTCAGTCAACCAATGCTTTTATCCACTGCACCATAAGTCCTTGAGGACATCAGTCTATGAATTTGGGGGGCTTATAAACCTAATGTCTCATAAACGTTTTTTTTTTTTTTTTACCAAAGCTCATATTACAATTTTGTTATTATTGTTTTTCTCTAGCACTCTGTATTACTGGTTCCCATATTGTATTTATTTCTATGCTTGGCCAACTTAGGAGATTTTTGTGGCCTAGCATATGTTTCAAGTTTTAAGCAAAGTAAAGAAAGACATACAGATAGTTAATACCACATTACAACAAGCTACCTCATACATTCAGCCTCGCAAAAAATTCACAAAGATGGTATTCAGCTTAGGCCAACTGTTAGCTGCCACAGCTCTGTGTGCCACGCTCAGGGTCACTTTCTTGTGGATATAATTGACCCATTAATAGGAAAGATACCATCATATATTCAAAACTTTGCCCAAGTCAAGGAAATAATCAAGATGCTACCATCCAATCCAGATGGTGAGCCTGGACATGGTGCATTTGTTTACCAAGATAAACACAGAAAAGGCACTATTGGTAGTCGGGGACAGACTGGCATTAGACTCAACCTTATCACATACCAAAATACAAATAGATAACCTGATAGATATGCTGACTTTCTGTACACAAACAACACACTTCAGAATGAGATCAGGAAGAGGTCCAGCTACTGCTGAACCATGTGAACTCAATAAGATCATCAATGCAGTTAACAATGGAGAAAGAAAACAACAAATTAACATTCCCGGATATAATAGTATGTAACAGAGTATGGGTTCAAGTCATCTGTATACTGCAAGACAACATTCACAAAAAAAAAAAAAAAAGAAAAAAAAAAAGGATCATCCACTGCTTACAATATCAAGCAAAAGTCATAAGTGGCAACTCAGATACATATGAACAAGAAATGATCAGTATAAGCAGTGCCCTACAATGTAACAGCTACCTTGGGTACATGACAGCAGGTCCAACAAACTGAGATAGAAGGGTGCAAGAGGATAACAACACCTAGAAAACAGCCTCAGTCTACCTACTCTGTGTGAAAGGATTATCGGAAAAAATACAAAAAGATCTGTGGTTCATATAACATCAGGACGACCTTTCAAGAAAGATCTCCCATAAAGAAGAACATGATTAAGGACTGCGTGTGCACCATCTCATGCAGTTGTGGTAAGAAATATAAAGGATAAACAGGTTGTCCCTTTAAGACTGCAGGAGCATCATAAAGCCATAACTCGAGGGTAAATAGAAAAATCAGGTGTGGCTGACACACATGGAGAGAAAAGGGAGATCACCGGCCCTGTGGGACGAGTTTCAAATAGCAGACAGAGAACATCACTGGAAAGTACAAAAACTTAAGGAATCAGCACTTATGCTGGGCCACAAAAATCTAAACCATCCAAGCATAGAAATGAATACAATTGGGAACCAGTAATACAAAGGTTTAGAGAAAAACCATAACAAAATTGTAATATGAGCTCCAGTAAAAAATGGTTACCGAGACATTAGGTTTATGAATCTCCCAAAAAATCATACACTGATGTCCTCAGGGATGTCCAGTGGACAAAAGCGTTTGTTGAATCCAGTGACTTGACAAAAGAGTTGTGAGTTCAATACCTGAGATGAACAAAATCTAGGGGAGACATCCGGAAGAACAATCTACCCTAATGGACGAAATAAAGGGTTCAGTTCGATATTCCAATCAGAAGAAGGCTGGAGCGTACAACAGCAGAAACATTGTGAACATGTTAACAAAAATGAGGATAACAGTTCAAACAATGTAAATAGTGTAAATAATTACAATACCTCATCTCAGAAATAGAGACAGATTCTGAAGAATGCCGGAGTGTACAACGGCTGAAACATTGTGAATATGGCAATGAAGATAAGGACAACAGTATTGGAATATTGAAATATATTAAGTATGTTTGTTTCTGAATTTGATTCTCTGTTTGATTTTTTTGTGCTGAATGTATTAAAGCTATAAATCTCCATTCTTTGGACATTATAGAAAGCTCTAAGGTAGATAACTTGTATCAAATGTTTCTTAAGTTTCTATTAATAAAAATTAAAGGTTCAACATAATAAATAAAAATTAATATATCTATAAAAATTAATAATATATTGCTTTCTGTATCTTTCTGAGATATGATAGGTTGGAAAATTAAGATGTGGATATGTACAAAGAAATATTTAACATAATACAAGCAGAGGAATGTTTATTTTGGGCAATCTTGCAAGAAAAAAAAAAGTTAGTGAAAGCCTCGAAAAAATGTTGAAAAGAATGAATAAACGTTAAACCCCTTACCATACAAATTCAACATATTACTCTGTCCAAGATTAAATGTGATTTACTGAAATAATATTTTACCTTTGCCATTAAAAATATGATGGCAACATTTCAGTAATTTTACAATTGCATTGGTGATGAAAAATTATCAGCTCCATACACTTCCAAAAAATCTAACAAAATGGAATCCATTTTCAATCAGGCCGAAAAATTTTCAACACCCCCTTGTACTCAAAAATTTATGCTGCTTTATATTTTTTTGTTTATGTTCAATACTTCCTGGGTATTAACCCTGATCCACCTGGCATCAGTTTAAATTAATACCTTCTTCCCTGCATATATCGTGGCACCATTTCACTTAAAGTTTGTATATTCTTGATTTCAGATGAAAACCTGGAAATTTTACAATATATTTCAGTGAAATTTTCTCGTTTATAAATATGGAAAAAAAGGCATCAGTTTAAACTGACATTGGAAGATGTAGGTTAAAAGCAAACAAATAACATTTTATTCACCATTAAATTTGAGTTTTAATTATCAAGCTTAACATAGCATTCTATTTCTATCAACACAAGAGATGAATGTGTTGTCAATTTATGTATTGGACTCTTCTAGTGACATAGGTAAGTGTGTGTGTGCGTGTGTGTGTGTATATAATTTCTGAGGCATTAAAGGATTTTATTTTCAAATTGACATTAGATTAAAAGGGTGGAACCTACATGCCAATCTAGTAGAATGCTTAAATTCACATAGTCAGGGCACTAGGGGGGGAAAAAAGCTTGTCAGAGCAGTTGCCATGAAAATATTTGCAGAAAAGACAGAAGGAAGCCCCATCACGTTTGGGAGAAAGTAACTGAAGTCGAGATACCAAGTCAGGATCAATTATATTGTAGATCCTTTTTTTGATTTTGTCAAGAACCTTGAGTAGCAAGAGAACCTGACCAGATATGGCAACAGTATTCAATGCCTGGATGAATGGTAAATTTGTAAATGTGTAAGATGGTCTGACGAGAAAAACCTTCTGGAACAACACAATAAACAAACTTTCCTTGCAGTATATGCAGTTATTGATTCAATGTAGTTGTTCTACTTCAAGTCAGTTGAAAACATGAAGACAAGAAGGAACAGTGAGATTCTCTCATGGAGTCGAGCATCAGCCATGTTGATGGTGGAAAGGGAAGTTTCTCCATGGTGGTTAAATGAAAGCAGTTTAGTTTTGGAGCCATTAAAATTTACAAGCCATTTCCTGCTCCAGTTAACCATTGATTGCAGGTCTTTTTCAAGAGCAGTGGCTAGGTTAAATTTGTAAGCTCTGACAGATTTGTTATTGAGACTGGAGTAAATGGTAGTGTCATCTGTATAAATGCCTACTTGGCAAATGATAACATCAGGAAGATCATTGATGAAAATTAGAAACAGCATAAGGCCTAAGATAGAGCCTTGAGGGACATCTGTGTTCATGTGAAAGGATCTGGAAGTGAACCCAATTCAAAACTACTTTCATTTCATGATTTGTTAGAAATGAGTGGATTAAATCAAACAATAGCCTTGGAGCTTACATAGAAGACCAGTGTGCCAAACCCTGTCAAACACCTTCAAGATATCTAGAGCCACAGCTCAAGCTTCACTGTTATTATCAAGTGCTTTATATACATATTCAGTGATGGCCATTAGCACATCAGTGGTAGAACTGGCAAAATGGAAGCCATATTGTTTATCAGAGAGTAGGTTGTGAGAGGTAAGATGCTTAATCATTTCAGCATTAATTAAAGGCTTGGATACTTTGTTGAAAAGCAGTAGGGGTCTAATAGGGCAATAGTTAGAGTGGTCAGAAGGTTCTCTAACAACAACAGCAAGAACATTCATTGAATCTTTGCTGATGATCAAAGTCTATTCACAACTACAGCTTTGATTGTGGACCAACTCTTTAAAAATCATTTCTAAACCACAGCTTTTTCTATGGACCAACTACCCAAAGACTAACTCAACTAAAGACTATTTTTTACTCCTTTTTGACTCTTAAATCCACGTACATATGCTTGTAAATACAAAATAGTTAACAGGCATACTCATGTTTTCTTTATTTTTTATTTTATTATTGCTTGGAATCCAGATTTTTAATATAAAAAAAAAACCAAGACAACATAATTTCCTACATATCTGATATTATGTAAACAACATTGCAATTGAAACAATAATGCACACTCCCATTTTTTTAAAAAACTTGAAAATTACATGTGTATTTATGATGATTCCTTCAATTGTATAGAGAAATAATTCTTATATCAAGAAAGGGTTCATTTTTAATTTCAGAAAAATGGTCTTACCTTATCATACATTCTGTTGAGTAATCTAGGAACAGAGGGGAATATTGTGGGTCTTAAGACTTTTATGTCATCCATTAATTTTTTGACATCCCCACTAAAGAATCCAATTGAACCACCAACCAGATAAAGAGAAATCTAAAAGAAAAGACAGAAAAAAAGCAATTTGAAAGATAAAGCAATACAATACAGAAACAAGAAAATTGGTTAACTGTTCATATATTCAACATTTTCAGTTTTAAGAGCACCCTGTATATTTATATTAAAAAATATTTTAAGGAAATCTATGACTAAGTGCAGAACACATTTTGTCCTTTAGGACTTCACTGAATTAAAGTGATGTTAATGCTGATGTAACTACATATGCACATGAAGGAGAGGGGAGACTGAGAATTTTAAATTTAATTTTTTTTTTTTTTCAAATATGTTTTTGGTAGATATTCTAATTTCATTTAGTTTCTTTTTGTTCATGTTTACATAACTTTTGTTATTAAGCATTCTACATTGTGATAATAGATCTGCCAAGGAAGGTGAAATGTAAGAAATTGAATGCAAACTAACTGCAGATGATCTAGCGATTAAAGCACTTTCTATACATTTCCTTCTTAGTAAATTGCTTTCTTTTTTAATTAAATTAGAAATTTTTTAAACAAAATTATGGGCAGTCTCATTACAATCAGCAACTAATGCATTTAACATGTTGTTTTGTAAAATAAATGAGGAAATGTAAAATTCTTGGACAAACCAAGAAATGATTCTTACATTTTTGGGAATTGGTTGGTCCAAGAATATATATATATATATATATATATATATATATATATATACACACACACACACACATACATAATAAAATGTGCCTGTATTTACGCAGCAAATTCTCTTTTAGGCATGTCTGATTAATAAATTATAAACATCATGTATGGTTATTTTTAGCATAATCCATTCATATTCACAGATATTTTTCTGTATATTACAATCAAATAATTTTCACTATTACAATGCATTTCTTGCATCATTTGTTTGTAATACACAGAAAAATATATGTCAATATGAACGGATTATGCTAAAAAAAAAAAAAAAAAAAGTAGATATAAGATATAATATTATATAATTTATTTATATATATATATATATATATATATATATATATATATAAAAACAGTATATACATTTTACTATATCAAAAACAATTTTAGGGAAAAAAAAACTATGACAGGTTTTGTCCTTTAGGACTTCATCAAACTAAAGTAATGTTTATGCTGACATGACTACATATGTACATGAAGGAGAGGGGATGCCGAGAATTTAATTTTTTTTTTCAAATATGTGTTTTGGGTATATAGCCTAGCCAATTTTATTTAGCTTCTTTTTCTTTGTTTTTATCATATTTTTTATTAAATATACTACATTGTGATAATAATCTGCCAGGAAAGGTGAAATGTAAGAACTTGGACATAAATTTACTGTGGATGATCTAGCAATTAAAGCACTTTCTATACATTACCATCTTAGCAAATGGCTTTCTCTTTTAATTAGTGTAAGATTTTTTTAAAATCAAAATTATGGTCACTTATAATGGTGAGCAACTAATGCATAATGAGGGTGTTGTTGCGTAAAAGATCTTTTATATTCATGTAGGCTTTTATTTAAATTCCTTGAGGTTTCTTCTATGTATTCCTTGTGACAATTATCACAGGTGACAGTAAATTCCTTTTCTATTTTGAAATATTTTACAAGCCTTTTGTTTCACATTGAATATGAAATAATTAAGATATTGAAGGAGCTTAGAAATATTTTCAATGTATTTCTCCTTTTCTTGATATATAAAGATTCATATATCGTTTTCCCATTAAAAAGAATGTAATGAATAAATGTCAGGTGTTAAGTATTGATGCCAAAAATGGAAATTAATGAAATCACATGTAAAGTTAAAAACAGAAATCAACAGATTGTACAATGTAAGAGATAATTTGAAGAGATGGAAAAAAGTCAATCATGGATGAGAAAACAAAGATATAAAGCTGTCAAAAAAATGATTAAACAACAAAATGGAGGACAATCAGCAAAGAGAAAGGATAACAGAGGGAGCATAAGGTTGATGTAGTAGAAAAAGATCAGAGAGAAAATGAAGAGATGAGAGAGAGGGGATTTGCTGTTCAGATATGGCAGAGAATAGCATAGAGTTAACATGAAAGGAGTTAGGACAGAGTAGTCAACTCACATTGGTTGATATGATCACTATATAGTAATGTACTAAATAAATGCAACTTAGATCTGGCACAAAGCCACACATATAGGACACCTAGCTAGGATTGAACTCATAATTTAGTAGTAATTTATCTGTGAGACTGGCTGGGGAAAGTCAACAAGCTTACTGTTTTGATTCTACACGCTCTTATTAAAAAGAACAAAGTAAATTTTTGATAAACAAATTATGGAAATTATTTAGGATTCATGTTTCATTTCATGCCATCTCTGATTTCAATCCTTCAAGCTGAAATCTCAACGTCACATGCTGGCTTGCTTCACTAAGGAACCCGAGTGTAACAAGACAACTTGAATCTTCTAATTCTTCCTGCCATCTCAGTGTCTTCAAATCTTTTTGATCTTATATCAAAACCTAAACAAAGGCAACCTATCACTGTCAGAATTCCATGCTTAGTCTTCTGACCAGTAGTTTGTTATTCTGAGCCAGCTTATGCATTCTGTAACAGTCAGCCTAATGTCATCTAAGCAAGCATCAAATGTTCTTTTAAATTAAGTCTTAAACTTTGAGGTAAACAAACTGTCTATTCAGGAAGAAGAAATGCTACAAGTGTGATGGTAAAGAAGGTTTTATTAAAAAAAAAAAAAAAATTAAGATAAAATTAGGCTTAAAAATCTGTATTTACTGTACTTTTCCTAGTCTTCTATTCAATAATTGTGTGTATATGTGTGTGTAATGCAAGAAATCTCAGAAAATATAGAACTATTTCAAAATTCAAATAAATATGACATTTAAGTTTGAAATTAAGTAGACTTTATAATTAAGTTGAACATGTGAAAATAAAGTGATAAGTTGTAATTATTATGCCTGAAGAGATGTCATTGCAACCAACATTATTAATAAGCAATTAAAGGAATCAAGCAAAAAAAGAAAAATATACTTACTTCAACAAACCTTTCATATGAATGAGCCAAGGGGAGATATGATATCATTACATCATCACAGCCAAGGAAATTCTGTTGAGAACAAGAAGAATTCTCTCATTATGCACATTATACACACAGAGTGAAAAAGGGAGATAATGTTTCATATAAAACCCTTGGAAAATCAATCTTCTAAACTATTTTCTATTTGATAAAATCTGTTTCTCTTTATATTTTATTTATTGATCAACACAAATGGAAATAAAATACTTAACCTAATGTAACAAGTATAGGTATAAATTAATGACATTTACATATTTACACATTATCAACAATAGTAACAAATTCTCTTGTTGCAGAGTCATGATCACATCTGCAAGGCATCAATAAATAGCTATATATATATATATATATATATATATATATATATATATATATATATATATATGTATGTATGTGTGTGTGTAAATATAAACTAAATAACAAGATATTAGCAACTACATATGCAGATAAATAAATATTTATTTAATTTATGGTGGAAAAAAAAAACAATGCTCAATGTAGCTAAACAGAGCTATAAAGTTACACCTCAATAATATACTGGGCTTATATTAACTTGGAGCTTTGAATTTGAGTATAATTTAGTGTTCCTCCCATGAGACCCAGTATTTTTAAAAAAAAAAAACAACTGTAATAAGCGGTCCAATCACCATATGTGCCTGACAAATTGGGAAACCATGAAACTTTGAGTTGCACTACAAACGTAGGTATATATATATATATATATATATATATATATATATATATATATATATATATATAACTGATTTAAAATATGTTTTTTTTGCTACACAGTTCTAACCATGTTTCAAAAATGGAAGCTAAAAGCTTCGAATTTAATTTTGTAATTAAATTAAAGAACACTGGATTATATATCTTACTGTTTTTTTCTTTTTCTTTATATATTATATATATATATATATAATAAAAGAGAGAGAGACCTCCTGAAGAATTACAAAAGGGTTTATATTTGTATTAATCATATATATATATATATATATATACATACACACACACTGGGATCAAATATAGATTATAATCTGACAGAATGATAGGATAAAGAACTAGAAATGTTTTTAAATTTAGGTTTCACTTTTATTTAACCCTTTGAGCCATGCATTCCTGAATAATTTTACCTCTTCTGCCCGAGTTCAAAATTCACAAATAATTTGTATGTAATGTTTCACCATAGATATAAAAATAGTGACAAGTATTTACACACCATTCAACTGGTGGCGGGGCATGAAATCATTCTTCTCTAACATTGTTCAACCAGTGGCTGGGCATTATGTCATTTTTCTCTACCACCAGTAAAGCGGTGAACAGGACTCAGAGTTAAACCATTGACAAAAATGAAATATGGAAGAAAAAAGAAAATTCAGGTATTTTTTATTTTTGCGTTGTCTGTTTTTCATTAGTTAACTAGACCTCATGCGTATTCTGTCTTGTCAAGTAGTGTATGTATAATTCAAGTGTGTATGTCTACCACAATTCTGTTTTCTTAAATAAAAGTGAAACATGTTAAATCTATGTTTCTTACTTGTTCTTTATCCTATCATTCTGTTGGATTCTAATCTATATTTGATTCCAATTACTATATTCTGATTTTACATTTTTGTTACACAATCAGTATTTATGTTGTCATCTTTTTAATCAAATATCAACTATACATTAGAATCTGACAGAAAATAATATAATAATCTGTCAGATAAAAATAACAGAATTTCCTTTTCTCCTCCACACTTAATTTTCTGATGAAGCTTAAAAGCAAAATGTTAAATTTATAAACATTTTCTATTTATTCCTTATCCTATCAACCAGATTCTAATCCATATTATATATATATATATATATATATATAAAAGAGAAAAACGTTTTTGGTTATACTGTGGATTTGTTTGAGTATATATATATATTATATTTTATTCTTCATATTTCTGCTACACAGATTTCTGGTCTCGTGACCTTCTTCAAGAAAATAAAAGAAATAAATTTTTAAAAGGAACAAGTTTTTCTTATGTTCTTTTAATGTCTCATTGTTCGTTTTCTGTATTTGTTAGTGAGCCGTGAACTCCTTTCTGACTTTTGCCAACAGTCTTCTTTGCTTCAAGAAGGTCACAAGACCGGAAACCAGTGTAGCAGAAATATGAAGAATAAAAAATAATATATATATACTAAAATGAATCCACATTATAACTAAAAATGTTTGCAGTTTCTCTTTTCTCTTTTTTTTTTTTTAAAAAAAATACATTTTTCTCTCATTGAAACAACTATAAACTTTTCCCTATATATATATATATATATATATATAGGAAGTGATAAGAAAAGAAGAAATTAAATTCTGGGATACAAGATAAAAGAAGACAACATAAATATACTAAATACAAGAGACTGAGTAACAAAAATGTAAAATTAGAATATTATAGAAATTGTCTGATGCTACAGGAAGTGTTTTTTTTTTTTGTTTGGGGGGGGTTAAAATGAAAATTGAAAGAAAATCTCATAGTGGACATAATAATGTTCAGATAAATATTGTTTCCTTGCAACTTGTCAACTATTTGTGGTTTATTTAAAGTCAAAACATTTTGGATTGTAAGAATAATTCTTATTTTTATTTAACAATTTCTTTAGGTGATAACAATGATTTTTCCAGATACAAATCCTACTATTTAACCCATAGCTGGAGAGGAGAAGAGATAGATTGGAGAGTTAGGTGACCAGATGTAAGAGGTGATGTGGTCACAGAAATTGTCTGACAGCCTTGATGGGTTTCTCTTACTTTTGTGGCATGGTTCATAGTTCTGTTGCCAGACAGAGTCTTCCAGCAGCCACCCTCTTGATCCAAAGCAGCTCTACCTTCTCAAAGTACTTGATGTAGGCCTGTCTGTTGAGTCTGAGGCCTTCACCAACAAATTTGGTAGTTCTTTTCTTATCAGAACAAAAAGAGTGAGTTTTCCAAGCTGCCATATGTAGGCCTCCGTGTTGAGTCTGAGGCTGTTTGGGAAGATGCAGGTACAACATCGTTATCACTAGTGATCACTCCAAACACCTTTGTAATCATCATTAGACTCATTCAGCTCTTTTCAAATCCTTTGCACTGTCCTCAGATTGACACCTAACACTCTGAAATGTTCACATTGGAGCTTCCGGTGTGAATGCCAAGCAGTACAGTATGCTGTTTACAAATTTTTGCTGGAATAAACTGCATCAATGGTGCTCTTTTCCTAACTGACCCTACTATACTGTGCAGTTAACAAAATCAAAAGCAAACAACACATCTACAAAATTAAAAATATAAAATGGCGATAATTTACCCATTGCACGCTGTATATATAGATATTTATTGTTTGCTTAATATTATTTTGCTCTGTTCTTTTCTTTCTTTTGTTATTGTTTACTGGGAACGTTATCAATTCTGTTTGTTGGTCATTTTTGGCAATTGCACTTAACCATGACTACATAATTGAATGTAATGAACCTGACTGGAATTTGAACTTGGTTCTGATTTCTCTTTCTTAACCATTATCCATTACATCACCCATACATCTGTTTATATGACTGAGCTAAGAACCTCTCTAGCTAATGCCACATGCTTTCAAAGATTTCCCAAATTCAAGAAACTTAGGCTTTAAATTCAGTAAACAAGCTAACATTGATTGAACAAGATGCTTGTTTGTGAAACACAGAATCATGCAAATTTTGATAGACAAGCTGCACTGATTCTGATGCTGAATTGATATTAACAGCCAGAATAAAAGTTGATCATTGGATGTTTGAAATCAGACTGCTTCCATTATGCCTTCTATTTTCTATCCAATCAATGATGACAGGTGTTGTTCTTACCAGAATTTCACCTGATTAAACTGTTTTTTCTGCCAACCAGAAAAGATGCAATGTCTAAATATTTGTTCAGATTAAAATAAAAATAAGAGTTGATTAAAATTATCATCTTTGTTTAAAAATACCTAAAAAGGATGCAAAGTGGTTTCAAATTATTTGCAATATTTTCAAATGAAACTTTTCTAAAAAGAAAGATTTTCTGTGATTTTTATAGGTTGCTCCTCCCCCAAATCCCATCTTGAGGTTTCTATCTAAAATGAAACAATAAGGACAGATTAAGTGTGTACAAAAATTTGTCTTCAGTCTGTAGCTATAAAAAAAGGTTCTGAGACCTTTTGACACACACACACCTAATATAGAACAAGCATTAAGAAAAATTTTTTCCCTAAATAAGTCTTGCAGAGATGGAGAGTGTTTAGTATACACATGAATCTTTTATGCAATCAAATACTGTATTCAAGGACTAGCAGTATTACCTGGGCATGCCCATATTTCTAAATGGTTAAAACGATTATAATCATATGCATTTACTATATTTTGTGAAGAAGAAGAAGAAGATAAAAAAGAAAAAGACAAGCGACATCCCCAAAATGGAATAACACAGTCACTGGAATGAAAATGATCTACTCCTGTAGATCAACTAGATGGTTCATTTTCAGACAGTTACATGGCTTTAAATCTGATGTCAGCAATTAAGATAAGGATACTAGTTTAAGTAAATCTCCAGAGGTGGATATGCAATGCGGTTGGCGTCTCGTCTACAGTCACTTTCTCACAGACGCGCCGTCGCCTCCCTCTGTTCTACAAATACTTTCATGGAAATTGCTCCGAGGAGCTGCATTCGCTGGTTCCCAGACATCATGAGTTCCAGCGACTTACAAGGCTGGCATCCCGCTTTCACCCCTTCACTGTCGAAACTCCTAAATGTAGCCGTCTCTTCTACTCTAATAGCTTCATGTCTCGCACCTCTCGCCTGTGGAATTCCCTTCCCTTTTCCTGTTTCCCTGTGAGCTATAATCTCCAGCTATTCAAGTGTAATGTCAATCGTCATCTCCAGTTGCCTTGATCTATCCACTACCCTCATCCTTTCTTCTATCACTCCTATCTGATCTTGCTCTAAATTTTCTGTAATCCCTTGTATCCTAGTGGCTTCCCGCCTTGCTTGGGGTGAAATGCTTAAAAAAAAAAAAAAAAAATCTAAGTAAAAGTCATTTTTCATATTCTGATTGGACAAAAGATCTATCAATCATAATCCCATTTTCAAATAAATAAATATCCAACTTACAATATGTTGAAGACCCGCCATAGCTGTTGAAACCATTCCATAGTGTGTAAGAATGGCTCCTTTGGGAATTCCTGCAAGAAACAAAAAATTGAAACTATAATTTCTATGAAAGAAAAAAAAAAAATGATATTTATATTTGTTGGTTTATTTTACTTGATATTCAATGAACTAGGTATTATAGAAAGGAGGCCAATCACACAAAAATGGGTAATTAGCATTTGCTTCAGAAAATGCAAAAAAAGAATAGTTAGCTGTAAAGAAAGCAACTTTCTGATAGGTGAAAATAATTCAAAGAATCCACCAATTTTGTTGGATGCCATCAGATTGGCAATGGAAATGAAGATGTTTCCTTATAAAGATTGTAGAGTTTGTTTTTTTTAATATATAAGTTACTAAGATATATAAAAACTGTTAGGGAAGGGCATTGGGTCTTGGTCTGAAATTAAAGCACTTCTAAGTTTGTTTTTTTTTTATTTAAAAACTAAAAAAAAACAATAAATCAATTGGAACTGCAGACCCTTCAAGTTGGTTTCTATTTGTTGCAAGTCAGCTCAACAAATGAAATTTTTCATAAATCTAAAACAATGGCATGCATCTTTCAAATATTTTAAATATTAGTAAAATAAATTACATACCAGTTGTACCACTTGTGTAACAAATGATGCAGACATCAGTTGATTTACAAGGCTGGAAATAAAAGAAGAAAAAAAAAATTAAACAAAATATGCTCTCTGTCTCCACCTCTGACATGATACAACTTATAAAATCTGGAGGGATATATCTTATCAAATTGAGTATCAGTGGTATCCTTTTTATAAAATGCGGGATTTTATTTCCCTAGGCTGATGACAAAATACAAAAAAAAAAAAAAAAACACTGTCCTGCATATTTGTAAAATAAATCTTCAGGGTGAAAATGACAAATATAAATTTCTAAAGAATTAATAAATTTATTTTTAGTTTGGCATTTTTATTACTTCAAATGTTATTTCAGTTTGATCCAGTGTGCATTACCGCTCAGCCACAAAGAACATCACAGCAAATAAGGTTCTATTTTCCCTTTAGACATTCTTTGTGGCCAAACAATAAAGCACACTGGATCAAATGGTGATTTCCGCTACAAAGGGAAATGTAGGTTCAATTCCTACTGGAGAATGCATTTTCTTTACAAAGATTACTCAAATATGTTATCCAATACTTGTATATACTGTTTAATAAATAGAAATTGGGCATCTATTTCAAATACAAATATCCACTATAATAATGTTTGAAGTAATAGAGAGAGAGAGAGAGAGAGAAAGAGAGAGAGAGAGTGTGTGTGTGTGCGTGTGTGTGTGTGTGTGAGTGAGTGAGAGAGAGAGGCATGATGGAGTAGTGGATAGCAGCTTGGATTGAGAAATCAGAGAGCCAAGTTCAAATTCCAGTTAAATCCATTACATTCACTTACGTACTAATACCCTTGGGAAAGGTATTAATCCTCTACTTCCTCTTCTCCCTCCAGCTATGGGCAAATAGCAGGACAGACTGGGTTCTATAGCCTTGGATGGCAACCGGTCTAGGAGGACGACAACTCTGAATTCAAAATCTGCAGAGGGTCGTTAAGGGATGTAGTGCACTAGGTCTCTCTCTCTCTCTCTCTCTCTCTCTCTCTATTTGGCCCTTCAAAAAGTGTGGTTGGTTCTACACAAAGCCTTCACCACTATAATCAAATCATATGTGCTGGTGTTGGTATATTAGTTCTTACTTACAAATTGGGGGGGGGGCTACACCAGATAATATCACTTTTTCTATTTCTATTCCTCAATTGCTGGTTCAGTTGAGGATTAAAATTCAATTTGTTTTTGTGCCTCTCTTCTCTCTCAATACAATTTCATATGCTTTTTTTTTCTTGGATTCAAAGACTTCTTTAGACAAAAAATTTCTTGAAAGCCTGCACTCAATACCTTTCAGCATGTGTTTAATAATGCCTGAAGGATGGTTCAATTTGGATTTCATATATTTCACCCTCATATTTGGTTTCATATATAGAACATAGTGCCGGCTAAGAGGTTGAATTCTACATCTAAATATTGTACAATCTTTTTATTCATTTCAACCATGATTTCAAATTTAAGGTCATGGAAAAGCTTGAAAAGCATTTTTCTAATTTTACCATTTTCCTTTCTGTTGTCAGGTACAATAATTAAACCATCATCTCTGTAGAGGATGTAATTGTCAATATGGACAATTTTGTTAATCTTATTTCACATGAAAAGCCCCATAAGCTCCGAAACCTCAGCTCCATCAAAGATTCTAAAGAGACATCAAATCCTTGCTGGTCATCAGCTATGCTTCGCTGTTGTGGGATAAAATGGATTTGCGACAATGCAAAATTATTTCAATATGCTCATATGGGATATCAACTAAGTTTTTGGCATAATTCAGTGTTTCAAGCAGGCCGTTCTCTAATATGGTGGAGTAGAAATGAAGTCTGGCCAAATACTATATATATATATATATATATATATATATATATATATAAAATTTATTTCAGTTGAGCTCTCTGGGGAGGAAGTGTGGGTTTGTAAACAGTGACTATTACAGCTAATAATGCAAGACTCGTTAAATCGAATTGAGTTCTCTCAGTCACTGAGTATTTATTTAAAAATAAATACGCTTAAATTCACCTTCATCCTTGCCGTGCGCCAACAGATTAGTCATAGAATCTCTGACTGAAGCCAATTCAGTCAGGTTTCAATCCTAGCTAGAGGCAACCAGATGTCTAGCCACACTGATGAGCTGTGATACAGCGAAACTGTCTGTGGAGGACAAGTGTATATAAATATAAATAAATATATATATGTATAATTATTTATATATTATATGCACAGTACTTGTTTGTCTGACAATCGCTAAAGCGTGAAACCCAGGGTCACAAACTCACATCTATCCAACCAAATATATATATATATTAAATTCTCACATTACAACCGTCCCAACTGACAACAATTTGTGGTTACAATGCAAACCATTAATCTTGTTTTGACTTCTGTTCTTGAAATTTTTCAAATTTTTTTTTTATGTAAATTAGTATTTAAATTGTTTTAGTTTGGGATTAACTTATATATATATATATATATATATATATAAAATAAGGTTATGAATTTAACAGATTTTTTTTTCTTTCTATTTTTTTTTAACATCTTTGTAGTCATTTATGGTGGCTTTGGAAAATAGTAATTCTTTCACGAATGGAGGTATTTGAAAAATCTGTGCTCCAGATTTTTTTCAAATACCTCATTTACTTTTGTTTATAAGACATTGAATTGTGTCACTTTATTTCCTCCATAGGTTGCTCAGACTATTTGGATAACCTGATGAATATTTATGAGTGTTCTTAAATTTTTTTAAATTTTGAAAAACCAATATTTTTGCTTTTGTATATAAATACTTGTTACAAAATAAAATCCTTGCATTTGCCTCAGAGGATGAAACCCGTCAGCTAAGATAGGTTTTCCTTTCGACTTTATTCATATTCTCCTTTTACAGATACAGGGAGCAATGGGTAAATTATTAGTATTTTATATTTTTAATTTTATGCATGAGATTTATTTGATTTTGTTGACTGCACATTATAGTAGGGTCAGAGCCAGAAGCACCAATATGAATATTTCAGAGTGTTTGGGCGTCAATCTGAGGGGTGTGCAGAGTGATTCAAAAAGAGTTGGTGATTAAGAAAGTGTTTGAAGTGATAACTGGTGATTGCAATGTTTATCCTTCCATTCATATTCCAACGGGCCAACAGATTGGCAATTTTATTGAATAAATTTACTCTTTAGTATTTCAAGATATTTTTGTTTAATTTTAGTAAATTAAAATGAGACGTCAATGTTATTTTCATTTTTTGCATAATTTAGACAACAATTTTCCATCACACCTCATAATATTATATATATATATATATACACACACACACATACAATAATAGATTTTATTAAATTTATTCTGCAATTCTTCTGTTTTATTTTTCTATTTTTGTGTCTCCACACTTACTAATCGGTGCCCTGAAAGCAATGCTACTGCTTCTTGATAAGGGTCAGCTTACAGTGATGTAGCCACTGGTTACTGCGACTTACTGTTAAGTAATTTAATCATTCCATCAGGGTATAGAAAATCTAATGCAGTTCAATACTGTAATAATGATTTTTTTTCAGGAGCAGTCAATAAAGTGTTTTGGCTACAACCTGATTATAAGCATTGCAACTTTTCAGGTTCCATAGATTTATTCAAATGAGAATCTTCATTTTTGCTTTAACTCCACAACTTGTAGTAGTAGTAGTAGTAGATGTAATTGTTATAATAGTTTGTGTAATAATTGGCCATATCCATATTGCTACAAATTGTAATTCTGCATTAATCAATATAAAACATTTCAAATGACTGATCTTGGACAGACTTCTTTCTTTCTAGGTATACAATTTACATTTAAAAATAACTATAGAGATGAATAAAACAAGATATACAAAAAAGATATCCCAGCATGCATCTGTAGGTTTTGCCTATAAATTTGGAGAAGGGAGGTTCTTACTAGTTTTACCTACAGAATGGAACCAACATAGTTATTAGAAATAGTCAATAAAATGAAAATGAGCAAAGACTGTAGCAATAAGATTACTATCTCCAAGTTGTATACTAGTAAATTTGTCCTGTTCAAAGCCACCTTTATTCAAATTTATACAATTTTTTCAAGCAGAAAAAAAAAAAGATATAAAAAGATAGAGGTACTTGTCTTTACAAAATGTCAATAATACAATTTGATTCCAATAATAATTTTCAGGGGAGTAAATGAAAAATATACAACAGAACAGATAAGGGTGTAAAATTCACAACCAAATTTGTATCATCACATTTTCAAGATAGATACAATATATGTCTAATGCAAATGTTCAGCTAAAATCTCCTGTATAATGTTTCAACAGCTAAAGCTATAATAATTTTTTTTTAAATTCATGCAAGTACCTCTTTAAAACTATCCATTTTGTTGCAAACGAATTCATTAACTACATTTGGGCCTCTTCAAATGGATTATATAAATACTCTCCAGTTTACCATCCTTGAACATCACCCCCTCTGCTGGTTGGGTCACATGTCCATATTGTATCCCACTTGACTCCCATGTATCATTCTGTTTAAAGAGCTCACTAGCAGCAAGAGACCCATACAGAGGCCCAGAACAACACTTCAAAGATCAGTTGAAAACTTCCCTTACACAGGCCAACATTAACCCTGAGACCTGGAAAACTGTTGCTGCAAACTGAACTTCCTAGTGTAGGACCATCCCATACCAAGACTTTCAAATCCAACTGTCAAAATGAAAAGGATCTGCGATGTGCTGTCAAGGAGGCATTCTTCTTTTGATAGAATAGCAGTATCTGTCTATATTTCTGAGATGAGATATTATGTACATTATTCTTTGTCGCTATATTTATCAAGGCCACCCCTTTAAGGTAAGGCTTCAAGAAAACAAGAAAGCTGTAACACAAGGGGAAGTGGAAAAATCAGGCGTGGCTGACCACATATGGAGAGAAAAGGGAGATCAACACCCTCTGATTAGGTTGAGATCATAGACAAAGAACACCATTGGAAAATTTGTAAACTTAAGGAATCAGCACATATGCTAGGCCACAAAAATCTCCTGAGCTGACCGAG